AACAGATGTGGTCTCCAGGAAGATCTGAGGGATCTCTGCTGCTCATGGGCTCTCTGTCCCCATGAGAGAAGCTGGGGGTGGCACCACCAGGTTCAGGTGCCCTGGGACAGCTTGGTGCCAGAGGAGTCAGGGACAGGAATGGTGGGATGGAGAAGGACAAGCGTGTCACAGGCCGGGAAGCACAGTCCTGGTGTGGGGGGTCCTGCTCTGCCCCCCAGCATCAGCCCTGCACTGCCCCCCAAAGCGTGGGCAGAAAGGGGCTCCAGGGCTGCCTCGGGGGGAGGCACAGCCAAGCCAGAGCCAGATCCCAGCAAAGATTCAGCTGTGAGAGGGGAACCCACCTGGGCCAGGGGTTCGTGTCTGGCAGGGCTGTGGCTCAGACCACGCTGTGGGCAGCAGAGCACCCTCAGTGCTGTGGCACAGGGCCAGGCTTTGGGAGCAAAGCTGCTTCTGGGGGTCCTGGGGACAGGCCGTGGGCAGGGATGTGCTGCACCAATGGTGCCACCAGTGCCATCCCTGCCAGGGCACTGCAGATGGCTGCTCCACAGGGCCAGGGGCACCAGGAGGGACAGAAGAGCCCTTGGAAGGGTGTAGGGGCAGGAGGCAGCAGCACAGCAGCACCAAGGGCCAGCCAGGGAACAGGAGCAGTGTGCTGGGGGCTGGCTGTGGGGCTCAGCAGGCTGCTGGGTGCCCAGGCTGGCTTTGGGCAGAGGAGCTGGGACATACTGGGAGGTGCTGCTGGGTGCAGGATGCTGGTGCTGGGCTGGTGTCCTGGTTCTGTGTCTGGACACCAGAGTGCTGGCATCACTCTGGCCATCAGCTGCTGCAGTGACCAGCCCAGGGCCAAGGAAAAGGCTGGGGGTTGGGGGGGCAGTGTTCCAGGCTGTTCCCCACACAGCACACGGAGCCCTGGGAGGTTTCCTGAGTGCTGGGAAGGCCTTTCAGCACAGGGTTTGATGTTTGATGGCTTCGTGAGGCCAGGAATGGCCGCAGCACTGGGACACCAGCATGTGACTCTGCCATCATCTTGGCCAAGGGCTGTGGGACTTGGCTCCCAGCTCTGGGGCTAGCACTGGGAATGCTGGTCGGTCCTGGCCAGCCCTCCAGAGCCACAGCGAATCCTCTCCCCCCCTTGGCCTCCTCCTTTGGCAAAGGGGATGTTTTTCTTGCTATTCTCAATGCAGCGGAAATTGCCCCAAGCTGATTTGGGACAAGAGCGCCTTCAACTCACTTGGCCTGTCCAGGCAGGCCTTGGGAACCCTGGGAAGGTGCTGGTGGGTGGGTGTGATGGCTCCTGCTTCTCCTCTGCAAGAGCCACCCAGAATAGAGGGAGAGCCCGAAGGACGATCCTTCTGTTCCCACCTTGGCTGGATGGCCAGACAGACATCCAGCTAAGCTTCTCCCTTCTGCAGAAAAGGGAGCTGGGCAGGGACGAGAGGGTCAGAGGACATTTTTGTCCTTTCAGGAGTCACAGAAAAGTGACTCTAAACCCTGGGATGCAGCCACAGGCTGTGACCTCCCTACAGCCTTTGGAGGAGGGGTGATGGTCTTAGGTATCCAGGGCTTTGCCATGACCCTGGTAGAGCCAAGCCCCGCTGTGATGTCCCTGCAGCAGGGCCCACCTGTTCTGCTCCTCCCTTGTAGTTTCCCCCCCTCCACGCAACCCCCCAAAGAATCCGAGCAGCTCAGAGATAGGGGCTGTGAGGGGAGGCATACCAGGAGAGGGATAAACATTCAAAAGAGGCTCTTACCCCAGGGAAGTTGGTTGGTACAGCTCTTTTTATTCTGTGGTGTCTATGTGAGAGCGGGGCAAAAGAGGAAGAACAGGAAATCTCAGGGGTCTATATAGGTTTTGGACAGGGTGGGCTTTCCTGGCTCTCGCCAACCCCATTGGGGCAGGAAGGAGGATCCAGGAGTTAACTTGATCAGAGTCACAGGGTCCCAGGGAAGGGGGGCACAGGGTGCCCATGAGCTCACCGTAACACTCCCTCACCAGGTATCGTCACTGGGAGTCACCACCTTCAGCCTCTGCGCCCTGGGCATCGACAGGTTCCACGCAGCCACCAGCCCCCAGGCCAGCACCCGGCCCATCGAGCAGTGCCAGTCCATCATTGCCAAGCTGGCCGTCATCTGGGTGGGCTCCATGACGCTGGCGGTGCCCGAGATCCTGCTGTGGCAGCTGGCGCGGGACACGCCGCCCGTGTCCGGCGTGGCGGCCGAGTCCTGCGCCATGAAGCCCTCGTCCAGCCTGCCCGAGTCCATCTACTCGCTGGTGCTGACCTACCAGAACGCCCGCATGTGGTGGTACTTCGGCTGCTACTTCTGCCTGCCCGTGCTCTTCACCGTCAGCTGCCAGCTGGTGACGCGGCGCGTCCGCGGCCCCGACAAGAAGGGCGAGTGCCGGGGCGCCAAGCACGGCCAGAGTGAGGGGCACCTCAACTGCACCATCATCGCCCTGACCGTCATCTACGCGCTCTGCGCCACCCCCGAGAACGTCTGCAACATCGTGGTGGCCTACATGTCCCCCGACCTGTCTAAGCACACCTTGGATCTGCTCAACCTCATCAACCAGTTCTTCCTGTTCTTTAAGTGCTCGGTGACGCCCGTCCTGCTCCTGTGTCTCTGTCGGCCCCTGGGCCAGGCCTTCATGGACTGCTGCTGCTGCTGCTGCGAGGGCTGCGGCCCCGACACCACCTCCAGCGAGAGCAGCGCCGACAGCAAGCTCAAAACCGAGATGTCCTCCTCCATCTTCTTCGACAAGCCCCGGGAGACTCCCCCACCCCTCCTGGCCCTTGGCACCCCGTGCTAAGTGCCACAGGGGAGCTGTAGCGATCGTTTCACCACCTCCTCCCAAGACCAAACGTTGTTCTGCCATTAGTACTCGTGTCTGGACGTGGAACGAGCAGAGAGAGACAGCTCAGGGGGCTGCGCCGTGGGCTTCAAACCCAGCATTGGGCAGGTGGGGCTTGCAATGCCAGTCCCCGTGGCTGCACTGGTGACCCTCTTGCCTCTGCCCAAAGGTCAGCGAGGACAGCGGCACCCTCCTGTCCCGGCGCCCTGGGGCTGCTGCTCTGGAGATGGCGTCGTGCCGGAAAGGTCTCACCTGAAACTACAGAGGCTGACCATGATGGCTCACAGAGGACACAGCAAACACAAACTGCCCTCTTCCCGTCCCCTCCCCTCCTGCCAGCCCCTCCACAAGAGGAAAAGCTCCAAGTGGCCGTATCCCACGGATTCCAGCCGTGCCCTGTATGAGCTCAATAAACCAGTAACCTAGAGCACACCGTGCCTGCAGCTGCTGGCATACTGGGCTGAGCCCTGGGAGCCCCTCGGAATGGCTCTTCCCTAAAACCAGGGGGCTCTGGGGTGGGCACGGGCAGCTGGGGGCAGGAGGGCAGGGAAGCAGCTGTGCCAGAGCAGGCAGCAGCCAGAGGAGGTGGGGAAAGGCTCCCAGCCCCTTTACTCCCTCCCTCTGGGGTGATGCTGAGCAGTGCCTGGAAGAGGGTTCCCATTGAAGTGTCGGGTTTGGGGTGATTTGCAGGACTTGAACTGGACTCAGTAAAATCCAGCCAGCCCAGCACAGGGCTGAGGCAGCCCCCAGCCTGCTGGTTCCCTGTGTGCACAAGCAAGGCGCTGCTGCTGCACCCTGCTGCTGTGCAGTGCTGCGGGAGGATGTGGGACCCCCATCCCCAGCACCCCTTGGGGTGAGAGCATCTCCCCCAAACTGCCCCACAGGGCTCCTGGCCCTCATCCACGTGCCCACTGCAGGGACAGGGCTGGCCCAGGAGGACGCAGGGCAGGGCAGGGGGGTCAGGGAGCAGGGGGGTCAGGGAGCAGGGGGGTCAGGGAGCAGGGGGTCAGGGAGCAGGCAGGACGGATCTGCCCGAGGGCAGCCTGGCCACGGCAGCCCATCCATCCAGCGGGCTGTGAGAGCTCCTTGTCCCCAGCACTGGCAGCCGGCCCAGCCCCGGGTGCCAGGGCGAGGGAGCGGTTGCCAGGGGCGCTGAAAGCGAGGGGCTCACTGCGGCCTTTGTGCGCAACACCCACCGGGCTCCGCGCTTCGCTTTGGCACAGCCGTTTCCAGGGAAACAACAGCCCCAGTTTTCTTTCCAGAGCACAGAACTGCGATTTTCCTTTCATCCTCCTCCCTCGAGCCCGTGCTGGGCCCCACAGTTGGGGAGAAGAGGGGTCTCGTCTCGGCACAGGGATACCCAGGGGGGCTCAGAGCCCAGGGTCCCTTCAGCCCCATGTCCTGGGGGGGAGCGGGGTCCCGGGGGGCTTTGGGGTGGTGGGGGAGGGCCCCTCTCATGTGCCTGGTCCACACGGCTCCATCCTGAGCCTGGGCCAAGGGCAAACAAAGCCAGGCTTGTGCTGCGGGCGTGAGGAGGGGCAGGGGCGCAGCAGCACTGCCACCACGGGCTGTGGCAGCACCCCACGGGCTGTGGCAGCACCCCATGGGCTGTGGCAGCACTGCCACCACGGGCTGTGGCAGCGCCCCACGGGCTGGGCTGAGCCCGGCCCTGCTCCCACCCTGCTCCCACCCTGCTGCCTGGGCAGCCGACATGGCACGGGCCACCCCGGGGACACGGCACGCTGGGACCCCGGCAGCGATGGCCACCAGCTCCCAGGGACCCCGGGAAGGACACAGGAGCCCTGGGGCAGTGGGCACAGCCCCCAGGAGGCAGCAGGGAGAGGGGGCAGGAGCACTGCAGGCCCCCCAAAGCCAGCAGGGCTCTGCAGCAGTTCTGGGACGCTGCAGGGGCAGAGGAAGGTCCAGCAGCATTGATGGCCACGGATGGAGTGTCCGAGATGCTCTTGGCACCCAGGCCAAGGAAACAAGGCAGCTGAAAGCCTCAGAGGTGCCTCCAGCACCTCTTGGGTGAGCATGGCCACACAGGTGCCCAGTGCTACCCAGGGCACAGGGACCTCCCTCCCTGGCAGGGCCCCCAAGGATGGGTGGCACAGATGGCGAGGAAGTAATGTGAGAGCAACCACACCCGCAACGCAAAATTGTTAATTTATTATTAGGAGGCAAAAAAATTGTACAGTTACAAGAATCATTTCCCAACAGAGGTCAAATCTGAGTCAAAATATCTCTTACAAAAAAAAAAACAACGGAGGGGGTGGGGGGAGACAACACTTTACAAGTCGTTAAATTAAAAAAAAAAAAACCCCAAACAACAAAAAGAAACCTCTCTTTGTGCAATTCTGCAAAAACAAGAACAGAAGGTAACTTCCTGGCCTGATGTCCTGGAGCTGAGGGGGAAGAGGCTGAGAGGCCCTGCAGCCCCCCTGACCATCTCCACCCTGTGCCCCAGCCCTGCACTGGGACCAGCAGCTGCCCCCCCTGCACACCCACCCTTCAGTGCCAGCCCAGTGCCCCCACACCGGCCCCAAACCACCTGGGCAGGCCCCAGGCTGCACCTCAGAGCCCCAGCCCATGGCACAGACATGGCACAGACATGGCACAGACAGCCACAGCCTTTGTCACCCCACGGGACTCCCACAGTCCCCCACGGGGCACACACAGACCTGACCATCGTCCCCACAAGCCCTGCTGCCCCCTGCCCCACAGCTCCTGTGCCTCCCAGCCAGGGCAGCAGGGCAGGGGTGGCACGGGGAGCAGGCACAGGGAGAAGGGCACAGGGAGCAGGAATGTGGTGCAAGCACGGGGAGCAGGCACGGGGAGCAGGGCACGGGGAGCAGGGCACGGGGAGCAGGCACAGGGAGAAGGGCACGGGGAGCAGGGCACAGGGAGCAGGGCACAGGGAGCAGGCACAGGGCACAACCCCCAGGACTGGTGAGCAGCCCTGAGGGTGCACAGATGTTCTGAGTGTGTCTCCAGGTGGCTCCATGTGCCCCTCCCTCTCTGGCATGCCAAGGGATGTCCCTGGCCAGGGCAGAGCCAGCAGCCCCAGCCGGGCCCAGCGATGCCACTTGGCACGTGGGGAGCCAGCATGGCTGTCCTGAGGGGCTACATGGGGCTGAGGCAGGTTACATGGGGACAGGTGCCAGCCCCAGCTCCCCCAGGGGCTGCTGGCATTGCTGGGCCCCCAGCACTGGCACCAGTGGCCCAGGGCATCCCCCGAGCCGCCAGGCTGGGCAGTGGGCAGGATTTGGCCTGGGCACAAGATCAGGGGACACATGGGGCAGGGGGACAAGTGGCCCTGGACCCCAAAGAAGGGTTAGGGAAGTGGAGGCAGCAGGGGGAGGCTGATGGCAGTGGCTTGTGGCTAATCCCTGTCCCCCGGAGGGGTGAGGAGCCTGCAGGGGCACTGACACGCTCCCCTCTCCAAGCCCGAGGCAGGCAGGGCAAAGTGGGCACCCCCAACACCCCCAGGGTGGTCTCTGCCTAGAGGCAGCAGCAGGACACCCAGAGAAGGGAAGAGGAAGCCCCAGGGAACCTGCCTGCAGCTGGTACAGCCCCACGGGCTGCCTTCTGCTACCACCCTCCTCCCAACGCTGACCCTTGGCTGGCCTTGGGGAGCCCCAGCTTTCCTACTGCTCACAGGGCCCAATTTAGTAACAGCACTATCCCTTAAATTAAAAAATTAAAATATATATACATATATATATACTGTATACACAGACAACAACAGAACAGTGCCAAAATGGAGGAAGAGAGGGGGAGGAGAGGAAAGGGGAGAGGAGGGCAGTCAGACATCTCCTTTACAATAAAAACAAGGACTCTGCCCCAACGTCAGCAGAGTCTGGGGTCCCCTAAAAATACCCATCTAGAGAGAGAGCTGGAGGGACAGAGCAGGAGAGAGGGGCATGGGCTTGGACAATGGCATCTTCCCAATCCGAGCCAGGCCCACAGGATCTCAGCTTCGCCTGGACTTCGAGTGCTGGATAAGCCACTGTAGGGTGATGTCTGCAGAGGCAAGGGGACACTTACAGCCTCTGTTCTGGCTGTCACCTCCCCCTGTACCCGGGCAAACACGTGTGCACGGGCTGCCCCCCATGCCCCCTGTGCCCCCAGCCCACAGCACTCACCAATGTTGTCCTTTTCTTTGCAGGAGATGGAATAGCAACAGATCTCTCGGTCCTGGATGGCAGAGAGGTTCCTGTGGGGAGGGAGCAAGTGCTGCTGCAGCCTCTGAGCTGTGTGGGGTGGCCATGGGAGACACCCCTGGGCAGCCCCTGAAGGGGCTCTTTGGACTCTGTCTCTGAGACAGGGCACAGTGCAGGGGCAGCAGCTCCCCAGGCTCTCCAGGAGCTGGGTGTGGGCCAGGTGAGGGCACCATGGCAGGTCTGGGGTGGGGGCTGTGTGACGGGGCAGGAGGGACCCGGTCCCATGGAGACCCTGGCCGCCAAATTCCATAGGTTCCCCCAGCCCTGCAGCCAGATGGGGCAGGGAGGTTTTGGGAGCAGCATGGGAGCTGCACAGGTGCTCTGAGAGGTGGCTGAAGGGGAGGAAATGCTGGGAGTCAGCGCAGCATCCCAGATCCCCCCTGTGGAGGGGCCCAGTCCCACTGCCCAGTGAGGGATCTGGGAGAGAGCAGCTCCAGCAGTCAGTGCCACGCTGTGCCAGGCCCCCACGCCACCATGTGGCACGTGGGACCCAGCCTGGCACTGGTGGTTCCAGCTCCTCTGTGTCCCCACAAGGTGTCACCTTGGACATCCTCAGCCACTCGACTCTGCCAGCCCACCCCAAGCCCACCGTGCCACCCCAGACAGGCCATCGTGCTGGTGGGGACATGGCAGAGCAGGGATGGGGCACACTGTGTCACAGCCCTGTGCCTGGGGGTCACACTGTGTCACTCCCCCTGTGCCCAGGGTCACACTGTGTCACTCCCCCTGTGCCTGAGGGTCACACTGTGTCACAGCCCCTGTGCCCAGGGTCACACTGTGTCACAGCCCTGTGCCCAGGGTCACACTGTGTCACACCCCTGTGCCTGAGGGTCACACTGTGTCACACCCCTGTGCCCAGGGTCACACTCTCACACCCCCCATGCCCAGGGGGCACTGGCACACTTACATCTTCTCAATGAGCTCCTTCTCATCCAAGGCACCGGGCAGGTCCCGCTTGTTCCCCAGGACGAGGACCTGCAGGGCAGGACAGGGGACACCTGAAGCACCCGGCCAGCAGACCAGGCAGGAATTGGCTTCTGCTACCCAGAAGCAGAGCCTGCTTGTGACACCACACAGCCCTGGTTATCCCTCTAGGATGTCCCAGACAGAGAAACCCCCTTCAGCAGCACTCAGGAGGCAGAGCACTTCAATTAACTGCCTTAATTAGCCATACACAGCATCTCCTGTGCACTCCCTGCTCCCAGTGTGGAAATGGCCCCACAGCACATCCCCTCTGAAGGGCACCAGCATCTGCTGTGCCACCCAGGACATTCTCCCAGGAGCCTCTCACTGTCTCTGGGTAAAAAGTCAAATGAAATGGCTAACACTGACTTTATCCAGCAGGAGGAAGCTCTACATGCTGGGCAGAGCACACTCTGCACACTAACACTGACTTTATCCAGCAGGAGGAAGCCCTAGATGCTGTGCAGAGCACACTCTGCAGGCAGGCAGCCCAAGCCAGAATCAGCTGTTTGTGCCATCACTGCTCCTCCCAGCAGGACTGGTTTGTCCCTCCGGAGCAGCTCCGTGTGACTGTCACCTGACAGGGGAGGTGCCTGGACTGGGCCAGGCCCATCTCAGCAGGATGAGCATCTCCCCACCCCAATCAGGAGGCTTGTTCTCAGAAGAGAGCCTTCAGAGGCCTGCAACTGCAGCCTGGTGTGTCAGGAGTTTAATTTAGCTGGCAGCAGGCATTTGGGACCCGTGGCAAGATGTTCAGTCAGCTCCCTTCAAAGGATGTGATTTGGGATGGCTGGTGCACAGCCCACCAGCAGGAACAGCATACCTGTGACATGTCCCACCTCCTGTACATGTCACAGCCCAGCAGCTCCTCTCACAGGAGACAGCACCTTCCTGTCACACCACAAATCAGGTGCAAATCCATGTGAGAGGACAGATTTCACCCAGGGGACCTGACCTTTGCTCTCTGCCCTAGTGGTCCCTCTGTGTTGCTCGGCCCAGTTCTGACCTAGGAAGTCCCAGCTGGCTCCCTCAGGAGTGCAGCAGGGAAGTGATGCCTGCAAGGAAGGGGAGCTCCTCACTGAATCTGCTCTGCAAGCCCTGGCAGTGCCCAGCCCGGGGACCACGAGGGAGGCACCAGCTCACCGGGATGCCCTGGAGCTGTGGCTTGTCAAGCAGGTTGTGCAGTTCATTCTTAGAGGCCTCTATCTTCTCCTGGTCAGCAGCATCCACCATGTACCTGCAAGGGAAGGGTTATGTGTAGTGGATATAATTCACGCCATTTCTAATATATATGTGATATTGAATATTTGTTGGAGTGTACACGTTTGTATTAGGATTCCCCCCAACCCTCGCAGGCGAAACCTGGTGCATGTTGAAACCTGATTTACAAGTAAAAGAATGTGGCTTGGCCAGGAGATGGGAGATGGGCCATGGCTGGGGAGATATGGGGGGACCCCAGGTGCTGATCGTGGCGTGAGCGACCCGAGACGGATCTCATGGAAATCCTCGGGCAGATCCATGTGAATGCAGCGTTCCCGTAAATTTCATCAAAGGATTCAACAACTCCTGACACTGAATTGTTCTTCTTCATCACCAAAAAGAAAATCTTATTAACCTATGGACTCTGAATAGAAGAAAAGACTGATTGCTGCAATCTTGGCCTCAGGCGGAATTTTCCCTATAAAAACCGCTTGTGCCAGGCTGGAGGTGTGTGGGCATGGAGGAAAACCTCTGCTGAGGCTGACTCCTTGTTGCACACCCAGGGCCGACCCCGGGCTCGGCTCTGTTCTTTCCTTGTGGCTGGCTAGATAAAATTTGATTGCAAAATAAATATTTTCTTTTTTCATATTAATTTGTCTGGACAAATTTTCATTTATAACAGAAGGGACAACCCTGAGCACAGATGCCCAGGTCTCCGTGCCACCCCCAAACCTCCTCCCACAGCAGCTCATTGCCCCCCTGGGAACTGGGCCAGCATGGGGGGGTGGTTGGTAACAGGATCCTTCCACCTCTTCCCAAGGGTGGCTGTGAGCTGAGCCCCTCATGTCTCCCAGGGGAGTGGGCAGCACCTCATCCTTGTCCCTGCAGTTGTCACCCTGCTGACAGCAGCCACAGGCTGGGTGAGGGAAGCCAGGCAGGAGAAGCTGCAGGACACACGTTGTCTCCAACAACACACACATGGCAGCTGCCATGGAAACACTCAGGACAAGCAGAAAAGGCAGGAGAAGCTGAGGATGCAGAGGTGACAATGACACAAGAAGGGGAAGGACCTCCTTATCCCATCAATGGGGTAAGCTTGGGAGTGGCCATGGAGCATGTGGATGTGAAGCTGATGGCCACCAATGCTTCTCTGAGCAGAAGAGGAGATTTGGGAAAGGGTTTTGTTCTTAAAGGCCAACTTTTATCCTGCAAATGACGTCAGTGAAGCCAAGACTTGGGTGAGGAACTGATCAAAGCAGCCTTGATTTCCAAGATCAAGAAGCTGGGAGAGAAGGAGTGAGAAACACCAGCTCATCAGGCTTTGGGGAATTATTTAAAAATAGGAGAACTTCTAACTGCTGAAGTGCTCAACACAGGAAAATGGGAACGCTGTGCCAAGAGGGAAAAACACCCCCAGGGACTGCCCCAGCCTTTGGCATGCTGGGCACGGGGGGCAGCTGAGAGCAAAGGGAAAGGCTCCTGACACAGCTCGGTGTGACGAGGGCTGGAGTGTGACCCGGATGCTCACAGGTCTTTCTGCTTCCTGACAACCACATGGGTCAAAATGACAACATCATGAAAGGAGGCAGCAAAAGGAGTGAAAAGACAAGCGATTTTATCATTTCCAGCAAAGCTCATTGTCATAAAAAGTGTAATAAAAACACTCCTGCAGGTCCAAGGCCATGTCCCACCTTGGTGGCAGGCTGTAAGGGCAGGAGCAGACACCACTGTCTCAACATGCAGAACAAGCAGTACCACACTCCTCCTCATCTGCCAAAGCTTAGGGTTGGGAAGCGCAGCACAGAAAGCAGCCCTCCAAATCTACAGGGTATGGTCACTCGGGAAAGATCCCATAAATCTCATTTTCTGACTGGGTTTCAGTAATCCCAGTATGGTGTCCCAAGATCAGTGTTTGTCCTTTGGAATAGGCAAGCTGCTTCCCATGAGTGCCTTGCCATGCTCACCCCAAGCCTGGACGCGCTGGGATTGCTTTTCCTGCACTGTTTGCAGGCAGGTGACACCCAGGGACACTCAGATTTGCTGACTCAGTAGCGGGTGAGACTCCTGCTCTCAGCACAAGATTTATCTGGCAGCACACAAACATCCTGACCTGGAAAGCAGCCTCTCCTCTGGGAAGGGCTGAGCCCATGACCGGGTTTGCTCAGCCCCTGCAGTGAGCAGCCAGCACAGAGGATGCATGGGAGCCTGGAAGGGTGAGATCTGAGCAACACAGACTGAGGGATGCTGGAAGGGAAGAGGAGAGTCTGGACAGTTGGAGGGACCTGTCTGTCCTCTGCTCATAGCCCATGTAGACATCAGTCCCCACAGGAAGTATCTGGAAATAAGGAGGCTCAGGGGGACCTCAGTCTCTCCAATTCCCTGACAGGAGGGTGAAGCCAGGTGGGGGTCGGGCTCTCCTTCCAGGAAATAAGCAACAGGACCAGAAGAAATGGCCTCAAGTTGGACCAGGGGTGGTTTAGGTTGGGTATTAGGGAAAATTTCTTCCCTAAAAGGGTGGCCAGGCCCTGGCACAGGCTGCTCAGGGCAGTGGTAGAGTCACCATCCCTGCAGGTATTCAAAAACCATCTGGGAACACAGTGGTGTTGGGTTAATGGTTGGACTTTATGATCTTAGCCTTCATGACTCCATGCTGATTCAGTGATTTCAACTCCTGCCACGGGTGTCCAGCTCGGCAGCAAAGGCCCCCCAGCCCCCCTGGCAAGGCCCAGCAGCAGCAGGGGGACAGCAGGGCTCGGGGTACTCACACGATGGCACTCACTCCACGGCAGTATCGCTCCCACATGCTGCGGAACCGCGGCTGCCCCCCGATGTCCCAGAGCTGTGACGGGGAGATGGCACAGTTACCCTGGCACCCACCCAGCACCGACACTCCTGCCCCACACTCTTCCCCCTCCATGTGGCCACCTGGGGCATTCATGCACCAAACCCACCCCCATCCTCTCCTCTTCAGCTCAGACCTCAAGAGGAGGCTCCTGACTCGATAAAGGAGGGAGAAACCTCAGGGAGGGAAGCTGGAGGATGCTGAATCCCCCTGTGGTGTGCCTCTGCTGGCATGAGATACCCCTGGCCCAAGCTGGGTGCTCCTCCCCGTGCCCATCACACCTCCTGCCATTTCCCTGAGGCACATCCCATTTAAGAACATTCTGCACACTCTCAAAAGTGCTCCTGCAGCAGCCACAGATCCCCCAGCCAGCTTTTCAAGCCTGTCCAACAGCTATTTCCCAGTACAACCCCGGGCCCTTGGAAAGTCCAGAACAGATAGAACCCTCCTCTTCCTTTGCTCCCAAGGCAGAGACCACCACTGCAAGCCATGACCTGTTTTCCCCAGCACGACCACCCTCAGCAAGGTGACCACATCTGTAAGTTCATCCCAGCAAGCCAGAGATCCAAGGAAACCTCCAGCTTTGCAGCCCAGACTGACTCTCATTGCACAAGTCTGGATCTCCTACAGCCCTTCCCACCACCTCTGGTGAGTACCTGCAGGACCCTAAGAGGGCAAATCTTTCACTTCCAGGTGGTGGAATCACAATCCCTGGATATGTTAACAAAACACCTGGATGTAGCACTTGGAGACACGGTTTAGGGTGAACATGGCACTCCTGGTTAGACTCGATCTTAAAGGGACTTTCCCCCCTTAATGCTGCTATGCTTCTATTCTATTCTATTCTATTCTATTCTATTCTATTCTATTCTATTCTATTCTATTCTATTCTATTCTATTCTATTCTATTCTATTCTATTCCTATTTCTATTCCTATTTCTATTCTATGAGCTGCAGCTGGGATCCCTGGAATTCCTTCACCTCCAACAGAAGGGATACCAATCTCCCTCACCTTCACCTTTCATCCCAAGACCCTTCACCAGCAGTAACAACTGCACCTTACCTTTATGGTAACGTTCCCTTTGGTGATCTTCCTCATGTTGAAACCCACTGTCGGGATCATATCTTCATTGAACTGTCCTGACTGCAGGGAACAAGGCGAGACAGGCATCAGCATGAAACATAAATTTTAAGGAATTTAGAGATTTTAGAGGAGCTAAGATTTTGGTTAGAAATAAGCCTTACTACAGTTAATTAAAATAAATGAGTAGGCCTTGATGAAGTTAAGAGTTAGTAGTTAACTAATAATTGATTGCTTGTCAGCACAATGTTTAGTTAGCTGGGTTTATAATGAAGAATACACAAACTGACAAAGAGCTTTTAGGAACATAAGACAATTGTGGGCCTCCTCTGTTCTGAAACCAATAGAAGACAAGGAATGGGAGTTCTACCAAGAGTTCATTTGTCATATTTGCATTGAAAAGGTAGAAAGGTCAGAACGAGGAAGACTTCATTTACTTCCTCATTTTGGGACCCCTCCCCATGAAAGGGACACCGACCCATTTCAAGGAACAAACAACACATGCTTAATAGCTTTTGGAGTGATTAGCATAGGAAGCAAGGAATGGGATGTACCAAAATGATGAATATGCATTTGTAGTTTGGGTATTCAACATTTGTATGCATAAAAGGGCTCTGTAATCACCTGGAAGCTGCGGTGTGGATTTGGGAGCGATCCCACACACAATAAACACACACTTTCTAACTTTAAACTGTTAGAGAGTTTTTGTCTGTCACAGTTGGATATTGGTACTAAATCAATATCCTTATTTTTTTAATAAATGAAGCAGGTAGAGGAATGGGGCCAGCCCGCCCTGGCAGGGCAGCAAGGCTGACAGCCTGGGATAGCCCCAAAGGCTCTGCCAGCCCTGCCCTGGGCACAGTGCAACCCTCCTGCAGGTGCCAGGAGCACAGAGCCCAGGAGACAGGGTGCCACCAGGACTACAGGAATGCTGCTCTTTTCCAGCTGGGAGAAAGCCTGGTGGGCAGAAGGAAGCCATTGTGTCATTGTGCCAGGCTTGGTGAGCATTTTGCATGTAAATCACCCTCTCCTAGTACACTTTTGTTATTAGTAGTGTTGCTTAGTGTCTTATCTCTAGTAAATTATTCTTATCTCAACCCATCATCTTTGTCTTTTGTGCTTCCAGTTGGAGGGGGAAGGGGAAGCAAGAGGCAGCCAACACCTAACACCAGCGGGAGCTTCAAACTGGGGAATATCATTCCTAAACCATGACACTGGCTGCTGCAATGGGCACAGGTGCCCTGCGTGTCCCAATGCAGGCCCCAACCCTGCAGTGAGCTGCCACCCTCAGCCCTGGACTCACGGGTGTCCCAGTGGGCTGGGGGCTTGCCCATCCCAGCTCTCTCAAGCCCTCTGTGGGAGGAGGCTGAGCCCTTGCTCCTCTGCAGTGACCTCTGATGAGGCAGCCCTGGAAGGAGCCCCTGGTTCCAGGCTGGGCTCCCCACCCAGGGATCCACCTCCTGCCCCAGCTCCCTTCCAGCTGCAAGTCCTGGGGGCACCAGCAGGTTTTGTGCTTTGGATCATTTACAGCCCAGCTGAAACCAGACTGACTTCTGCTTTCAAGTGAGAGCAGTCTGCACTGGTATCCCAGTTCTGCATCCTGCCTGTGCTGGGTGACTTGGGGATCACAAGGGGCTCCCCTCCTGCCCCCAGAGCTGCTCCCAGTGCAGCTCCAATGCCTGTTGAGTTCATGCACCAGATGCACGAGATCCCTGCGGGGCTGCAGCAGCCCAGCCTTGCTGTGGAACGGGTCAGGCTTGCTGGAGCAGTGAGCAGGAGCCATCCCCCTGCTGCTGCTGGCTCACGAGCCCAGGAGCCCAGCACCACCCCAAGGGGTCTTGGGAGAAACGACCCTCACTTTTAAAATGTTAAAGGTTTATTAAACCTTAACAAAAAGTACAACAAAAGGACTGAATAAGGAAAAGTTACAGCACTGGGAGCCCCTGTGACTACCAGCCATGTGCTCATCTTCAAGATGGATGCTCCCTTTTATATCTCCAGCCCCTCCTGGAGTCCTGTCCGTGACTCCTTCCTTGCTGCCCAGGGTGCAGATCACTTTCTCACACCTCGGCTGGAGCTCAGGTGCTCCACAGTAAGGAGCCAACCCTCCCAAATTCCCGAGTACCGAGGCCACCCCATGATAACAATGAGGGGAGGATACATTACAGTAACACAGCTCTGCATCTGCAAAACTTCCTTAACACACACATAATGTTCAACCACCTCATTGCTCATCTCCCCACAGTCTGGCAAAGCCCACCCCACGTCCCAAGGCTGCAGGATGGGCCCAGGTGGAGCAGCACAGAGGGCCATTAAGGGCAGTCCCAGCAGTGATGGGGCAGCTCTGGGGCAGGAGACAGGAGCTGGCACAGCCCTTCACCTCCAGCAGCTTCCCTGGCACCAAACCAGGCTTATGGCCCATAAATGCATCCTGGGGGAGGCCATGCTGCGGGATGCTGAGGAGCCAGTAGGGCAGAATGTCTGACAGCCAGCACAGTGCAGCCTTGGGGATTGCAGCCATCAGTGCCAGAAACCTGCAGCAACCACCAACCATGGCCCAACTCATCCTAGCAGGTCTTTACTACCTTAAAACCCTCACTTTCTTGAGGGCTTTTCTCTTAGTTAACACAAACCTCAAAACAGGAAGTCAGTTAATGCTATTTTGTCATAAGCAGATTCTTGTGCCTGGTTGAGCCTGTGGCTCCTCCAGATGCACCACATCAGCAAGTCCCCAGGGTTTTCCTGACCTCTTCCAAAGGCTCTGCAATACACCCTGCTTCCCTTTTTCACATCCCCTTTGCATTCAGCAGCCAAGGGGGCTTCAGGCCACGCTGCACCCAGAAAGCACTGAGAGGAAGGGCATGGGAGAGGAGGGGAAGCAGGCAGGGATCCACAGGGGACATCTATGGACTGAGGCTCAACACACAACTGAGCTTTATGAACCGGTGGGCACAGAGAGCAATTGCTGAAGAGCTCTTGGAAGCTGCAGGCACTTCCCTCAGGGATTGCAGACCACATCAAGGCATCTGCTGGCTGTGCAAAAGCCACACAAGGTAAGGTTCCCATGTGACAGAAGCTTCTTCCAGGAAGGGGTGATCTGCAGGAGCCAGGAGTCACCTCTTCTTTCCTCCACAGGTGGGACAGAGCATGTCTGAGTGACCACAGCCTTGCCTGCCCCAATCCCCTCTCCCACTGCAGCACCAGCCTCCACGCTGTGCATGGCCAAGGGCCAAAATAAAACTACTTGAGCTGTTCAAAAGAGGCTGAGCAGGGAGTGCGAGGCACTGAGCTCCAGGACGGCTCACACGTGCTCCCGGCTGTCCCAGCACCCACAGAAGCATCTTGCACATGCTCCTCCTCCATCAGCTCATCCTGCATCAGCTCTTCTCTGAAAGCAACTCTCAGTGGTGGAAACACAGAGTTTTCTCTTCCTTCTCCAACTATCCCTGATACTGGTACCTTCAACATATTTGCAACTCCCTCCAGGGTCCAGCCATCCCCAGTTCCATTGCCAGGAAAGCAGTGAGCACCCAAAAGCTTCACAGTGCACACTCTTTCCTCAAATTCTGGTTCTGTAATGGACATACTTCCATGCTCACCCTGAAGATGATGCCACATCAATTGCTTAAGAACGGAATTCACAGAATGACTAGGTTGGAAGAAATCTTCAAGATCATTGAGTCCAACCCAATTCCACCAGGAAGCACAAAAATTGTTGCAGGCAAGATGGGTTTTGTGGCCACAAACGGCAGATCAGGTCTTTACAGACTCCAGTTCATTGCTGGTTTTACCAGGGCCACCCACTGCTCTGCCCAAACCACTCTGCCTTGGTGCCCTGCCCCAACACCTTCCAGCTGGGTCACTGGGAGAGGTCAGAAATCAGCTTTTGCCAGGGCAAGTGGTGCCCCCAGCTCAGGCTGAGCCCCATCCTGACACATGCACATGGGCACCACGTCACCTGCCACTACAGCCATCAGCCCCCTGGCTCAGACAGGGCCTGGGACTCAGCTGGCTGGCACGAGCAGAGAAGCCACCTCAGCCTCAGCCTGCTCTGGTGAGCAGCATGCAGGGCTGAGGTGGCCAAGCCTTCCTCCTCACTGCAGCCAGGTGGCTGTCACCCTGTCCCAGCACAGGATGACACTGAACTGATGTGCCCTGCTCCAGATACATCGCTGCTGGCTGTTCTGCAGCCCTGCTCCCCAGAAGGCAGAGATGGCAGTGCTGGAAGCCCAGCCCTGGGGCTCTGCAGCTGTGTCTGCACCAGAGTATGGCCCTTTGTGCAGCAGGCAGGAGCCCAAAGCACCTCGGCTTGGGTGTCTCCCGCCACTGCCTGCACCATCTCCAAAACTGCCCAGCCTGGCACGCCTGCAGGCATCTCCTGCCATGTGGCACTTGAGTCCCTGCCAAACCCTGTCCAAGCTCTAACATGGAGGGAAACTTACACATAAAATATATAAAAAACAAGTATTTTATGATCTGAGAGGTAAGGCTCTGGCACAGGTTACCCAGAGAAGCTGTGGCTGCCCCATCCCTGGGAATGTTCAAGGTGAGGCTGGATGGGGCTTGGAGCAAACCAGGCTAGTGGAAGGTGCCTGTATGTGCCTGCCAACGGTACGGGTGTTGGACAAGGTGATCCTGAAAGGTCCCTTCAAACCTAAATCACTCTGGGATCTTATCTCAGGAAAGCCACACTGTCCATTTTTCTTGGCTCATGTTGACAGAGCTTCCAGCAGCAAGACAAGACCATGCCTCGGCCAGATTCTCCTCCTCTTGCAGGAATATGGAGAAACCCTCCCCCCCCAGAAAACACAACACCTTCTGCATTATGAAGCAAGGTGCAAAGACACACCCGTGGAGGGCCCAGGTGCTGCGTGTGGAGGCAGAATAACCATGAGGCAGCACGAGAACCCATGGCCACCTCCCACCCACGCTGGCCCTGCCAGACCCCACTCAGGGGACACACTCAGAGTTCCTGAGAGAGGTGGGTGCCAAGACAGAACAGTGCAAACCCATCAGAACAACATCTCCCTGCTACTTCCTCAGCACCTCTATACTCTATGTCCCAGCAAACCCTGGGGACCTTGCACACCTGGAGCTGCACGTCCCCTCCCAGGCTCACGCAGGGCACATCCCACCCACATGGTCACCAAGGGCTCAGTGTCTGTCTGAGGAGGGGTGGGAGCAGGCGCTGAGCTCTGCACTCCTCTGAGCCACTCCCAGGCCGTGCCTCCCCTGGCAGTGCTGCTGCAGAGCTGGCTACTGCCCCACCATCCACCACCCTACCTGCTGCCAAACACCGGGCTGACGTGGTTTCACAGGATGGGTCAGGTTGGAAGGACCACAGTGGATCACCTGATCCAACCTCCCTGCTCAACCAGGATGGCCCCAGACACAGGGCACAGCATTATTCCCAGACAGCTCTGGAATGTCTCCAGGGAGGGGACTCCTGCTCTCTGGGCAGCCTGTTCAGCACACAGTCACTGCACAGAAAGTTCTTCCTCATGTCCAGGGGGAACTTCCTGGGCATCAGCTCCTGCCCATTCCTCTTGTTCCATTGCTGGGAGCAGAGCCTCTGACCCCTCCCTGCAGACACTGACAGACACTGCTGAGGGCCCCTCAGCCACCTCTTTTTGTCTGTTTGGCTCAACAGCCTCAGCTCCCTCAGCCTGCCCTCATAAGAGAGATGCTCCAGTCCTGTCAGCATCTTCACAGCCTCCACTGAACTCGCTGCAGGAGCTCCATGTTTCCTCTTGCAGCACTGGTCTGAATCACTTTCCAGCCAGGGCTGGAGCAGAGAATTGTGCTCCAGAGCCCCCATCACATGTCCAACACCCCGGCACTTGTGCCTTCACTCTCTTGGAAGGCTCTAGGACAGGTAGAAAGCATGTGCTGTTAAAAAGCAGCAATGCTCTCTTGCTCTACCCATGGCCTGCACTGACAGGTTTTGGGCCCCAGCACCTGCTGAGGAGCTCTCAACACCCTTGAGTCATCCATGGCACCACTAGACTGGAGAAAAGGCAGCTAAAAGCCCACTGGCTTCAGGTTAAATCAAGACCAAGTGTATCCACAGTGTTCACTTCTCCTTGCAGGAAAGACTTCAAGCCTCAGCTATCAACACTTAGGAAAATCAAAGTTCCCACTCCAGCCAGGTGAACCATGAGAAGTCACCCTGATCATAGCTCCTTCTGCAAAGCCTTTGCCTGGCACAAGCACAGCCTGGCTGCTGGAGAGAGCCACCCACCTTCCAGAGAACCAGAGTCCGCTTTTCAGTCAGGTACAGCTACAAATCCTCCAAGAAAAGGACAGTTCCAACCCCCCAGAGCAGCTCCGGTCCCAGAAAAGCTTCTTGTGACATCCCTCCAACACCTAAATCCCATAATTCTTCAGTTCAGGTTTTATCCTCCCACTAAGCCTAAATCACAGCTATTTCCCTTTCCAACAACCCCATTGCAACACCCTAAAGCCAGGCACCTCCAGAGCTTCTCAGGCAGTTACTGTTGAGTTGGCATTTCCTGTGCCTTGCTTCTCTTTCACTGTACCCAACAATTCCAGGATGTCATCTCCAAAGTTGGTGTCCCTTTTTGTGTGCATCTGCCACAAAACTTGAACTTTCCAAATAACTTGAGAGGCCAAACTCAGCACCCTCAGCCTGACTGCTGTGTGAGGGTCTCAAACACCCCACAACAGACCTGACAGACCAGCAGACCATGGTGCCAACTTCAGCCACCTCAAGAGCTGCTGCAATTCCTCAAAGTCCCCTTTCCCTACACCAGCAATCCTGGCTAAGCAGAGAGTCCCAGTGCATGGGCCTTGCCAGTGGGGTCTTGCCCACAGTTACAGTGCCAGGTACAAAGTATTTACTCACAGAAAATAAATCCCACTAAGCTCACACTGAGCCCTGTCTGCCCCAGATGTGGCTGGGAGAGGAGGAGGCATGTGGGGAACAGGGAACTGAGGAACACCAACCCTTGGGGTTTCCAGCCCTGCGCAGGTCTGGGATAAAACTCCATCACCCTTCATAGCTTAAGCGGGTGATTAAAATCGACACTTTGCCATTTTTAAGGTAGCCTGGGTGCTGTAAACAGGCAGCAGTACCCAGCAGCAGATCAAGAGCAGGAGCAGCTCACATGTGGCACCACCACATCCCACCCTGGCATGGGATTGCAAAAATTGACTATTAATCACGCAAATGGCAGGAAGAGGTCCCCCAAAAATAGGATTGATGCTCAGGGTCACTGCCCCAGAGCCAAAATGCTCCCTGTCCCCAGACGCTGGTGTTGGTTTATGGGGGGATTGGAGCACTGAGAAGTGACTTCCAGCAAAACAGCTTGAGAGCAGGAGTGCCATCGTCTCCAGGATGGAAAGTATTTTAGGGTGTCCTCTCTCTGCCCCTAGACACTTCAGGAAGGACATTTTCATCCCTCAGGACCTCCCAAAGAGCAGTGCAACAGAGCCTCCATATAAGCTGAAAATCCCCTCTGACAGCCCAGCAGCTTCCAGCACCAACAACTCGCTCTGCTTTGGAGCCATGGCAGGCACGGACTTCGGAGCAACCAGGGGCCAGTGGGGGAACCAGGGCGGATCTGCATCCACCACCCTCCATGAAACCCTCGGGGGACAACAGTCCAAACCCACCCCTTCAGCATCCTTCCGCCTTGCACCATCACTACTGACAGGGCGAGAACAACCCGAAAAGGCAGAGGGGAGACTGCCGAGCATCCCCAGGGGTGAAGCCACGCCCTGGCTTCGGGATCCAGGGCACGCAGCTCCCGCTGCGCTGCGGGATGCAGGGAGCGGCCGGGGCTGGAGGGCCCGGGGCGGGCGGCTCTGCCCTGCCCTGCCCCGCTCGGCACCCCCAGCTCGCTGCTGCTGCCGGCGGACGCTTCCCGGGGAAGGGCGCCAGGCAAACACCTCCACAGCGGCCCCCAGGCACGGAGCCCCGGGGCACCGAGCCCGGCGGGGTCGGCACGAGGCCCCAGTGCGCGTCCCGGCGGCGCGGGGGATGACAAAGCGCCCGGGAGCTCCCGCAGTGCCCCGGCGGCACGGCCCGGCCCGGCACCGGCCCCAGCACCGCCCGGGAGCTCCCGCAGTGCCCCGGCGGCACGGCCCGGCCCCGGCACCGCCCGCAGCCCCCGGAGCACGGCCCGGCCCCGCCCGCAGCCCCCGGAGCACAGCACGGCCCGGCCCCGGCCCCTCCCGCAGCCCCCGGAGCACGGCCCGGCCCCGGCACCGGCCCCGGCACCGCCCGCAGCCCCCGGAGCACGGCCCGGCCCCGGCACCGGCCCCGGCACCGCCCGCAGCCCCCGGAGCACGGCCCGGCCCCGGCCCCGTGGATGCGGGGAGCTACGGTGCGGTTTGCCTGGAACGCCCCGGGCCCGCACCCCATTGCTGCACCCCGCTGCTGAACCCCGCACCCCCAGCCTGCACCCCCTCCCCAAAGGCATTTTCAGGCTGGGGCGCGATAGGGCGGAGGCGTTCTGAGAAATAGCCAGGGGTGCAATGGGGACATGCAGTGGGGATGCAGCGGGGGCGTAGAAGGTGCGGGGATGCAATGGGGTGCAATGGGGTTACAATGGAGATGCAATGGGGATATAATGGGGATGCAGTGCAGTGCAATAGGGGTGCAATGGGGTTGAAATGGGATTACAATTGGGGTGCAATTAGGATATAATGGGGATGCAGTGGGGTGCAGTGGGGATACAACGGGGATGCAATAGGGGTTCAATGGCGATACAATACGGATGAAGTGGGGGTACAATGGGGATGCAGTAGGGATGCAATGGACATACAATGGGGATACAACGGGGATCCAAGGGTGGAGCCCTGCGTGGGCAGGTGACCCTCGGGGACGGGGCGATGCGGGGCGTCCCCGGGCTCACCGCGATAACGTTGACGAAGGTGGTCTTGCCCGAGTACTGCAGCCCCACCAGGGTCAGCTCCATCTCCTCCTTCCAGAACAGCGCCCGGAACCAGTCCAGCAGCTTGTTGAAGAGCGCCAGCATGGTGCCGGCCGGGCCGGGCCGCGCTGAGCGGGGCCGAGTTGAGCCGAGCGGAGCCGGGCCGGGCCGGGCCGAGCGGGGCTGGGCCGGGCCGAGCCGAGCGCGGCCGGGCCGGGCAGGGCAGGGCCGAGCGAGGCCGAGCGGAGCCGAGCGAGGCCGAGGCGGGGCGGGGCCAGTCGGGGTGGAGCCGGGTGGAGCCGGGTGGAGCCGAGCGGAGCCGAGCGGGGCCGATGCAGGCCGAGCCGCCGCCGGTATTGTCCGCCCGCCGCGGGCCTGCTGCCGCACCGGGTGGGGCCCGCCCGCCGCCTCCCCAGCCCCGCTGCACCGCCCCCTGGCGGCATGGAGGAGCCGCTGCACCGCGCTCCGCAACGCCGGGGCCCGGACAGAGGGACAGACGGACAGAGGGACAGAGGGACAGCCCGGACAGACGGACAGAGGGACAGCCTGGACAGCCCGGACAGATGGACAGCCGGACAGAGGGACAGCCTGGACAGACGGACAAAGGGACAGACGGACAGAGGGACAGAGGGACAGCCCGGACAGAGGGACAGACGGACAGAGGGACAGCCGGACAGCCCGGAGAGCCGGACAGAGGGACAGCCCGGACAGACGGACAGAGGGACAGTCCGGACAGACGGACAGCCCGGACATAGGGACAGCCCGGACATAGGGACAGCTGGACAGAGGGACAGGCTGGACAGACGGACAGAGGGACAGCCAAACAGCTGGACAGAGGGAGAGCCCAGACAGAGGGACAGGCCGGACAGAGGGACAGCCCGGACAGATGGACAGCCGGACAGCGGGGCAGCTGGACAGAGGGGCAGAGGGACAGAGGGACAGGCCGGACAGATGGACAGCCCGGACAGCCCAGACAGATGGACAGAGGGACAGCCTGGACAGACAGACAGGCCGGACAGAGGGACAGCCCGGACAGAGGGACACAGGGACAGCCCGGACAGAGGGACAGCCCGGACAGACGGACAGCCTGGACAGCCGGACAGCCCAGACAGGCGGAATATCCCATAGCCCTGCCCCGATCACTGCCGGCATCCCCGACCCCCGGCAACCCCGGGCTCCTCAGACCACAGTACGGCCTGAGGGAGGGGGGATGCACCTCCTACCGCTGCACCCCACAGCCCTGCACATCCTGCCAAGCCCGCCCCTGCACCCCAACACTCCTGTACCCCAGTTCCCCTGCAGCCCCAATATCCCCCCAGCACACACTCCTGTGCTCCCAGCACCTCTTCACCTGGTGCCTGCTGCATCCAGCACCCCCACCTCCATCACCCCTGTGTCCCCTGTGCTGATCACCTGCACCCAGCACCCCCACCTCCATCACCCCTGTGCCCCCTGTGTTGGTCACCTGCACCCAGCACCCCTATTCCATCACCCCAGTCTCCCCCGTGCTGGTCACCTGCACCCAGCACTCAGGTGCATTCCCTGCACCCCTGGCAGTGCCCTGCCACAGCTCCTCCAGCCATGCCATGGGGCACACCCCAATTCTGCACCTGTAGCATCCCCCCTGCACCCCAGCCCCCTGCACACACACTGGGACCCCTGGCACACACAGCAGGACTGAGCCAGCCCATGGGGCTGCCCCTCTGCCCTCCTGCAGCCCATTCCACTGTCCCCCTGGTGTCACCTGTCCCCCTGGTGTCACCCATCCCCCTGGTGTCACCTGCCCGGGGTGCAGCCCCCTGGCCAGCAGCCAAGGCAGGAGCTGCCCCTGGCCATGGGTGCCCCTTGCCCGGGGCTGGTGGTAGGTGCACCCAAAGGAGGGTGTGGCGAGGTAACTCCAGGGGTGGGAGGCCCCAGCAGGGACCCTGGCTCCTGAGGCCCGGGGAGCACCCGTGGGTGAGGGGGCACCTGGGGTCCAGCGCTGAGGGAGGTGCACCCTGCTGCGATGGGAGCTGCATGGGCACAGAGAGGATCCCATGCACCCGCTGCTTCCTTCAGCGAGGGGCCAGTCACTGTTTGGTGGCTTTGGAGCTGTGCTTTGAGCTGGTGCCTCAGGCCTCAGGTTCCCCAGGTGATGTCGGTGTGATGGTTCAGGTGCAGGGATAGTTCAGGTGCAGGGATGGTTCAGGTGCAGGCTGCAGGGGTGCAGGGATGGTTCAGGTGCAGGAATGGTTCAGGTGCAGGGATGGTTCAGGTGCAGGCTGTAGTGGGAGTTCAGGTGCAGGCTGTAGTGGGAGTTCAGGTGCAGGCTGCAGTGGGTGCAGGGATGGTTCAGGTGCAGGGATGGTTCAGGTGGAGGCTGCAGGGGAGCAGGGATGGTTCAGGTGCAGGGATGGTTCAGGTGCAGGCTGCAGGGATGCAGGGATGGTTGAGATGCAGGCTGTAGTGGGGGTTCAGGTGCAGGCTGCAGGTGTGCAGGGATGGTTCAGGTGCAGGGTTGGTTCAGGTGCAGGCTGTAGTGGGGGTTCAGGTGCAGGCTGCAGTGGGTGCAGGGATGGTTCAGGTGCAGGGATGGTTCAGGTGCAGGGATGGTTCAGGTGCAGGCTGCAGTGGGTGCAGGGATGGTTCAGGTGCAGGCTGAAGGGATGTGGAGGGTGCTGGGGGTGCAGGTGTTTGAGGGGTGTGGATAATGTGGGCAGTGCTGCGGGGAGAGATGCAGGGGTACAGGGATGCAGGGGTTGCAGAGCTCCTGGGGTACTTGAGGGTGCAGGGTGTGATCAGTGCAGGAGAACTGGGGGTGCAGGAGAGCTGAGGGCCAGCAGGCAGGGTGGCACTGGGGTGTAGGGGGTGCCAGGAGCCCCAGGCAATGCCACAGGAGCTGACAGTTCCATCTGGAGGAGACATCAGCCAAAGGCACAGCTCCCTCAAAGGATGCTCCTGTCAGTCCTCTACCCAGCCTGCTGCCACAGAGCTCCTCACACCAGTGAAAAGTTTGTCATCCCCCAAATCTTGCATGTAATTTCTGCTTGAAGACTTTTTTTTTTTTTCCATAGAATCAGAGGATTGTTCAGATGAGAAATGACCTCTATTATCACCAAGTCCAACCATTATCCCAGCACTGCCATGGTCACCACTGAACCATGACCCAAGTCACCGTCCTGCAGGGATGGAGACTCCACCACTGCCCTGGGCAACCTGTGCCAGGGCCTGGCCACCCTTTTGGTGAAGAAATCTTTCCTAATGTCCAATTTAACTGCCCCCAGTGCAACTTGAGGCCATTTCCCCTCCTCCTGTCCCTGTTCCCTTGGAGCAGAGCCTGACCCCCCTGGCTGTCCCCTCTTGTCAGGGAATTGTGCAGAGCCCCAAGGTCCCCCCTGAGCCTCCTTTGCTCCAGGCTCAGCCCCTTTCCCAGCTTCTCCTGGTGCTCCGGACCCTTCCCCAGCTCCATTCCCTTCTCTGGACATGCTCAAGCACTTTCTCTTCATGAGGGGCCCAAAACTCTACCCAGCATTTGAGGTGGGGCCCCACGAATACAGGAGGAAACCAGATTTTTAATGAGCATTCCAGCCCAAAGAATGTCCCTACACCAGTTTGGAGCTGCCCCCAGCATTCCTGTAGCACTGAAGATGTTAGAGATTGTCCTGGGTGTTCCTGCAGTCCTGCCACAGACACTGCCCATCCAGCACTCAAACCAAGCTCACCCCTCACAGCACGGACCCCAGCTCAGTTTTTGACCATCCCCACACTGCGAGAGACATGAACAAATGAGCAAAAAAGATCATTTTCATGCACTATCCCCACTCCACCCACTCTATTTCCCTTACTCCCATCAAGGGGAGTCAGCCCTGACAGGTTTGGGGACATTTGGCTGTTTCCCACTGGTTTGAACCAGGGTCCCAAGCTCTGCTCCCTGCAGAGGGGCTGGTGGCACATGCAGGGGTGCACACAGCAGATCTGGTCCCTGTGGCTGCACCCTTGCAGCACTGTCCCCATGGTGTCACCCATGGTGTCCATGGGGCAGAGTCCTGTGCAAGAGCTGGCACCACCCCAGGGCTTCTCCAGACCCGAGCCCCCAGACCTCTCCAGAGCATGTTTGACATTCCCAGGAGGCTTTGATGTGGTTGCTCAACCAAATTCCTTATGGAAACAGAGGTCAGGGCTGTGCCAGCCCATGTGGGTAAGTGTTGGAACTCAAAATGTCCCTCAGACATTTTTGGAGGTTCCAGACCCCGGTCAGAAGCATTTGAGACCCTGGCAGGCAGCTGGAAACAGCTGTGATTTTGGGTTTGAGCCATGGAATGATTTACCAACCTTGCAGGAAGAACAAGAAGTCACAAAAGTTTAGATATTAGACTAGAAGTAGTCACAAAGTAAAGGGAAGAATTTTTGAGTGCTGTACAGGGGGGTTTTGGTTTTGTACATGGGGGTCAGAGGTTTAAGATGGAGGGATCTGGGCCTGTCCTGTTCCTCCTCTTTCTTCTTCCTTACCTCCATGTTCTTGGTGATGTTGGCACTCCCAGATTGGTTTGGAGTAGAAAGGCACCATTTAATATAGGTAATAGGCACTGGGGAAAAACTGTAACATGTAACACGTAATGTACCATATAAAAGATAGAAAAGCACCATTTAATATAGGTAATGGGCATTGGGGACAAACTGTACCCATGTAACACGTAATGTACCATATAAAAGACAGCAGCAGCCCTGGGCAGAGGGGGAGAGAAGAAGCAGTCGGGAGTCAGAGAGGATGTCAGGGTGTGTGTGTGCCTCTGCCTGAGCTGTGAGCAAACCACAGCAGCCCCAGAAGAAAATCTTTTAGATAACTTGCAATAAACTGCCTTGAGACCGAACAACAGAGACTGCTGAGCCTTTCTTTGGAAGCACGGGCTGGAGGAGAAGCTTTTCCATCATACAAAGCCACCCTGCGACCTAGGGTGATCTTTGACAGGTAAGGAGAGGCTTTTCCTCATGCTCCCCTGGCTGAGTTTAAGCCTGGCTTACCCAGGACCAGCACAAAGAGCTGTCAGTGCCATGTCCCTCTGTTCCTGGTGCTCCCAGCCCCCGGCTCAGCCCTCCTCTGGCTCTGGGTGGGTGCTGCTGTGGGGCTCATCCTCTGTGGGGTCCCACCTGCTGCAGGTGCTCCCACGGGGCCTTCTTGAGACGCTGGGACCCCAGTGCTGCCTGGAAATGTCAGAGCATGCTCTGAAATGTCCCCTTTCCAGGTGATGGCTTGGTCACTGTTAACTTGGAGTCCACAGGTGCTGTTGGAGCATATGGTTGCTCCAACAAGTAAGAGCAAAGCTATTACTAATTACTCAAAATGCTGGATTTTGGCACATGCTCTGCCTTTCCAAGGACCTGCTGAAGCAGTGCTGTGTTTGATGGCATTGAAGCTTTCCACCAGCTGCAAGTGAATTTGGAGCATTCTGGGTCTATTTACCACCCCCAAAGCTGGTGTGTGCCACAACATGATGTGTGCCACCATGTTTTGTTCCTCCCATCCCAGTGAGTTGTTGCAAGGGGAGGGAATGGCCTACCAGCCTGGAAAACTCCAGGCCAAAATTACAGTCACGGGGATAGAACAGGATCTCATAACTTCATACCTAATATATTTTCTTAGCTGTATGAAAGAAATGTTTCACAAAAGGGTGGTGAGGCCCTGGCACAGGCTGCCCACAGAAGCCATGGCTGCCCCATGCCTGCAAGTGCCCAGGACCAGGTTGGACTTGGAGCAGCCTGGGATAGTGGAAGGGGTTGGGAATCGATGGCCTTGCAACCCAAACTGCTTTATGATTCTGTGGAGGAAGGACTTCTCCTGAGCCCTGGGCAGGAGCTGGTCTGCTGGGGCTCTCAGGATGCTGCAGCTCAGGGCCCCAGCTCTGCCTGCCTGGGCTGTATCTCCTGTGGAACACAGGAACACCATGGGAAGGGTAAGGACAGCTGGGACCATTCCTGGGCTTTCAGGGGGCAGTGAGGAACAGCAGCAATCTTGGCTGTGCTGACCCAAGCTCAGGAGCTTAATGCTAGCCCAGGGCATAGGGAAGCACGAGATTTTAGAGAGATTCCTTTCCTCTGCTAGCACCCTGTGCTCTTCATGGACCAGGTGAGGGGGTTTCTCAGGACACAGCCAGAGCAGATCAAACCTGTCACAGCTGAGACAGCCACAATACACAGAGCCACAGCATACAGTAGCAGAAGGCTTCAACCCACACACAGTAACACCACACCACTTCACTTCAGAAGGCTTCAAGCATCAGTCCTTCTTGTTCTTCAGCCCAGCCATGCACTGCACCTGTGTGCCCTCTGTTCCCTGTGTGATTGCTCAGCACACTGGGCACTCCGTGTCTCATTGCTGTCACTGCTGCTCACCTGCTTCTCACAGCTGGACCCATTGGGGTGAGGTTCATGCCAGCTACCACGAACTGTGTGCCTGCACAAACCCTGCTGCAGCCCTGACGTGGGCTGAGCCCAGGAGAGCTTGGCAATAACACAGGAGAGGCTCAGCACAGCCCCCAGCACTGCCAGGGGTCAGGGCAGAGGATGGACAGAACTCACACAGGGGCCAGGTGAGTGTGGGACAGATGGAGCTGGTAGAAACTGAGATCAAAAGGCAGGAAACCTGCTTAACTGATCATAATCTGGTCATGTTTAACTGATCATAATCTGCATCAGACAGCTGGGCTGGAGAAACTCCCAGCACCTGATGGGGACTCTGGGAGGAGGTGACAACGCGCCTGGCCCAGCTGTGGCCCTGGTGCTGCTTCTCCATGCCTTGGGAGAGCCTCGTGCAGCCCTTGGCCTGAGCCTGCCCCAAGAGCTCTCCTCTGGACAGCAAACTGAAAGCGTGAGGGAAATGGTGTGTGTCCTGCTGTCCAGGCAGTGCAGGAAAACTGTCCAGGTGCAGTTTGCAAGTCTTCAACTTTTCCTGCCTGATGGCAGTGGGTGAGTGTGGGAGTCCAGGGCTTCCCTCTGGCTGCCCTGGCAGGTCTGGGACCCTGGCAGGGGTCAGGAACCCCCCTGGACAGAGCCCCCAGAGACACTGGCTGTGATCTCTGGCCATGCAAAAGAGTTTTCAATCTCACAGGATGAATTACCAGCTCTGAGTGTTTGATATGAGTAATAATTAAGTGTGGCACGGGTGCCAAAGTAAAATTTTAGGATTCTAGATGAGGGGCCCAAAGGGGACAAGATGGAGGAAATTGGGTGTGTCTTGTCCTTTTCCTCCTTCTTCATGCCCTCCATGTTTCACTGTGCTGTTGGCATTTTTCTGTTGGTTCAGGCTGGGGACACACTGTCCAACGTAGGTGACAGATATTGGCACGTTATTGTAAATCCAGCACAGGTAGTTTGTGGTATTTAATGTTTGTACCATCCCACTGAGGGCAGAGCCCCACACGCTGCCCTGCAGGACAGAGCTGCGGCAGGGCAGCAGAACATGTTAGAGATAAACAGAATAAACAACCTTGAAACCAGCACAGACCAATTATGGCTTCTGCTTTGGCAGAGGGGCTGACAGACAGAGACTTTCTACAATCTCAGAATCATCAATACCTCAGACTCCAACAGGTGAGGAAAGGCTTGAGGAAGGGGATGCTGAATAAAGCCTGTCTCACAACTCAAACTCTATGGGTGTCTCAGAGACACCATTAAAGGCAACAGTGCTACACCAAATTACCTGAAAAGACAAAGTCCTGAGCCATGCACTGACCTGCAGGGAGCTTGCAGAAGTTCCACAGCCCCTCCAAGTACCCAAGCATCGCACAGGAATCCCACAAAGAACACAATTCTCCCCCAAAGCACCTGGCTGGGCAGGCTGGGGCATGAGGAAGGGCTGAAATGGCACTAAGAGCAGGGGGATTTCTCTGCCAGGGTGATGGAAATGCAGCAGGTGAAAGGATGGTACTTGAGATCTGCTCCTTTTCCTGCTGCTGGGCCAGGAAGCAGATTTGTTCCTGGTGCCAGGGCAGGGATGTGGACAGGGAAGACCACAGGGCAGCAATTCAGGTGCATTTTGGGGGCCCATGGAGTGGTGAAGGGGTAGGTCATGCACACAGGCCTGAGCTGGGGAAGCTCAGGGAGCCCAGGCAAGCTCAGACTCATTCAGCAGGAAGATTGAGCCTTTTTCCCCTGGATCTCACTCTGGATCATGTCAGGGCCTAGGACATGGGCACAGACTGGGCAGACCCCATGTCCTTCCCAGCCCTCACTGCCCAAGTGGGTGTCCAATGCCCATTGACAAGGGCAGCTTTGAACACCTTCATAGTACTTCAAAATCTTTCACAGAGTATTTCCATCTCTATGCTTTACAACAAAATGTTTTTCTGTCTTCTATTCCTCCCCCCCCCCGGATTTATCAGTTACAAAAACAACCTTATAAAACCCAAATATTATTTTGTCCCGATTTCAGAAAAAAAACCCCAAGAATTCAAAATCCCCACCCTCACGTAACAAAAGGGAATTGGGAACACGTCACTTGCAAACTGCACTTGGGAATCTCCCCTGCTAGAGAGAGGGGAGGTCTGGGTTGAATATTGGGGAAAATTTCTTCCCTGAAGGGTGGTCAGGCACTGGCACAGGCTGCCCAGGGAGGTGGTAGACCCACCATCCCTGGAGGTGTTCAAGAAATAAATATATCTGGCAATTCATGATACAGTTCAGTGGGCACAGTGGGGTCTGATCAGAGGTTGGACTCAATGATCTTGGAGGTCTTTTCCAACCTTAATAATTCTATGGTTGTACTTTAAGGCTGTTGAGAAGGTGTTGGCTGAAGGTGGAGAGGAAAGCAAGCTGTGGAACGCTGTTAGCTGACCGTGCACGAAGCCATCGAGGTGTGTCTTTAGCAAGAAGAGTTTAGTGGTGCATGTTTGGAGCAAGCCCAGCCCTGCCAACAAAGGATGCCCAGCCAGGACAGAGACTCCATTTATTTCAGGATAGTTCCACCAGTGCTGTGTCTAACAGGGTGGACATTTGTCTGCAGCTGAAAGGGAAACCATGGTCCCAGCATCTGCCAGCTGCAGTTCCTCTGCACATCTTGCTCTTCTGGTTCAGGATCTTGCACCTCTCGAAAGCCAAAGCTGCTTTCTATGGGTGAAATCTGCCTGGAGCCAGCAGCAGTGGCCACCTCGAGCACCAGTGCACCACCTCACCTTGCTCATCCCCAGGTCCAAAGCCGCCGTGGCCGTGGGTTGGCTCAGCTGTACTCATCCCCAGGGATGTTCACGCTGCTGCTCTGTGGCCTGGCAGCGTCAGGAGAGGTTTTGGTGAAGGTACCCCCGAGGCTGGTGCAGGAGAGGTCGGAGCAGGGAGCCACAAGGCCGGGGGGAGCCCTGCACTAGCGGCCTGCCCCCTCTGGCAGCTGGGAAGCGAAGAGAGCCAGCGTGTGATGGAGGAACTGGTACTGCTCGCTCGTCTGGATCATCCCACCTCTGCAAGAGAAAGGCAGGGCCCACTGACACTTCACCACACACAGAACCCTGTCCCAGGGCACAAATATTCCCGCTTCACCAGCCATGTCGAGATGCCTCTGAAACAGGCACCAGAGCAGCCCAAAGAAGAGAGGGGTTCAGAAGCATTGCTGGGCTGTTCAAAATGAGATTAGCAGCTGATCTGGTGCTAATTTTCACCTGTACTTCTTGAAAAGCGGCCAGGTGGAGTGTTTCTGGATTTAGTGGCTGAGCTGGAAGGGAGGAGCAGATGGCTGCCAGGTTGACAGCCCCTCTCCTCTCCCTCATGTCAGAGCTACAAAAGCTCTGACTGCAGAACCAGCCTGGCACTGGGGATTGTTTGCTATCCACACACCCACATCCCCCAGCCACCCTTCTGGTTTCCATCAGAAACAGTCCCCATGCCCTCCCCATGTCTCTGCCACATCTGTCCCAAGCCCTGCTCTCGGGCTTGGCACCCAGCAGGACCCTCCAAGGAGCCCCCTGCTCCGTGTACCCACCTGTCTATGCGCAGATGGCACACGATTCCAAGGATGTCCACCTCCCCCTTGTCCCGCAGCTGCTGGCACCCGATCCTGGTGGCAATGAAGCAGCCAGTGCGGCCGATGCCCGCGCTGCAGGGCAGACACAGCTGTGTGAGCACCCACAGCACCACTGCCTGCACTCGCACTGCTGAGCTGGCTGCACTCCTGGATCGGTTTGCTGGGATTTCTTCCTAGAGGGATGCTGGGCCCTGGCCCCAGCTGCCAGACCGAGCTTCTTAGGCAGGCAACAAAAGCTGTGGGGGCTGGGGTCACTCTGCCACGGCAAGGAGTTCTTGCCATGTGGCACAGCCCGGCTGAGGCTGCTCTGGAAGCACAAAACCAGTCTGTGCCCATCCCTGTGCAGTGCAGGGGGCCCTGCAGCCCCCTCCCTCCCAGCTGGGCTCTAACCCCAGCTTTGCACTCAGCCTGCAGCAGTGCATGCTGCACGTTCCCTAGGGACAACCGAGAGCTCTGCTCCACTGGCCCCAGATTCACTCAGCAAGGAGAGAACAGGCAGAGGCCACCTCCTGCAGGAGGGTTGTCCTGAAACAAGGCTCCACATCCAAGCCACAGGCGGTGCTTGGTGGCACAGGGAGCAGGAATCACAGAATTACAGAATGGGTCAGGTTCAAAGGGACCAGCCAGGGTCACCTGCTTCCATCTCCCTGCTCAAGCAGGATCTTCCACAGCTGGAGTTGTGTGGGTCCCAAATGCAGACCCCTCCTGCTCCCTCCCTGCTGGACCCCAGTGCAGGATATGCCACTCTAATGCCACCATCCTGCTGCCAGGACAGGAGCTGCAGATTGGCAGCTCTGCTGGAGGGTGGCTGTGCATTTCTGCATCACTGTGGGACCTGTGTGAGCACTCACGTGGGATTGACCCCAAGGAGAAGCACAGGCAGGGCTCAGGTGAGCTGCAAGCTCTTACCTGCAGTGCACCACGATGGGCCCCGGGCTGGCTGCAGTCTGCAGAGCCTCCTCCACCTTGGACACCAGGTGCAGCAGGGGCTTGGCTGACTCGGGTGTCTGCTGGTCCGGCCAGGAAGGGAAGAGGATGTGTTTGACCTTGCGGCTTTCCTTCCCAAGCTTTTCCAGCACAGAACAAAGAGAAATGGGGATGTGAGGGCACAGGCCAAATGACACGGGGAGTTCAGCCCAAGCAGGGGTCAAGCAGCCCGTACCCATCTCAGCCACTCTCCTCCTGAATCCCTCTTTGAGCCTCTGCCAGGCATGAGGGAGAGACCCCCGGGCCAGAGACAGTGGGTGTGCCCCATGCCAGAGGGTTCCAATGCTGCCCCCAGAGCGCAGGCAAAGCAAGCCAGACCCTTTGGGCTGGTGTCAGCCCAGGGTGACACAGACAGCCCACGGGCCAGGGCCCAACAACACAGTGCAAAAACACCGGGCTGGTGCTGCTCTGCCCAGCTGACCCTTCTCCCCTGTACCCCAGGGCTGGCTCCTGCTCCCTCCCAGCCTCTCCAGGCTCTGCACACCCTTCCTCTGGCAGAGGCCCTGTCACGGGGCATTGCCATCTCACTAGAGATCCCAGGGGTGTCCGGGGCACTGCTGTGCCCCCTCTGTGCCCAGGATGAGGCTCAGACCCACCTGGATGGAGAGGTCTCGCACCACGTACTCCACAGACTCGCTCACCCCCTGCACCTGGATGGTGAAGGGGCCATAGGTGCCCTCCTTCTCGGGCCAGTAGTGGACACATTTCTGGAGAAGAAGGCAGGTTTATGGCTGTGGAGGTGCTCAAGGCATCCACTGGATGTTTGAACTGTGCTTGAGTCAGTGTTCTTGGGAGGGGGCAGCACCTTAGGGGTGCTAGGGGAGTGGGGAAGGTGGATGCAGAGTGATACAGAGGGAAAGCAAAGAAGGGACAGATCCCTGCCCCTGCATCTGCTGCCCTGCACCCTCTCCCCTGCCCTGCCCTGGCTTTCAGGCCCCAGGGGTGCATATCCCTGCTCAGCCCAGGAAGCTTCCAGATGCAGCAGGACCCAGAGCACAGGGAGGCTGTCGGCTGGGGGAGAAGGGAGCAAGAACATGGCCAGGAAAGAGTTTCCAGTTCCCAGCTGCCCCAGGCAGGTGCTGTTGGCTCCCATCCCAGAAGCAGAAGCAGTGGGCAGCAGTGCCCCTCTGGCTCTCCAGAGCTCTCCTCTGGGCTGGATACCCTGGCTGAGAGCTCTCAGCCTAGGGGAGAGCTGGGGGGCACTGCTGCCCACTGCTTCTGCCCCATCCCTGGGGGCTGCCCTGATACCCAGCTGGTAAAGCGTGCCCAGAGCACACAGCCACGTGAGGAGGAATATTGCCAGACAGCGCCAAGGCTGCAGCCCTGGGCATCTCCTCCTCCACTTGTGATTCAGCAGGGCACCCTCGGAGATGGAAGCACAACCAGTGGGTGCACAGCCCCACATCTGGGCTGACACAGCCCTGCACTGTCAGCAGCAGCCCTGGGCCGGGCCAGGCTCGGTGGTACCTCCTTGCGCTCCTGGAGCTCGGTGATCATGACGATGAGAGGAGCCTCCTCCTGCCACACCATCTGCCAGAAGTCACTCACGGTGCTCAGCAGCGGTCCCTGCGTGGCGATGTACTCCCGGGGCCGCCCCGCGTAGCCCTGCCGAGCACAGCCTGTCAGGGGACAGGGCCACCCTGGGGCCACCGGCGCTGTCCCCAGCTCCCTCCAGCCCTCACCGCGCTTTTCCCCTTCATGGTTTAGAGGCTGAGCCACACATGCTGTTTCCTGCTAAACCTGTCCTTAAAATGCTTTTGTAGATCTGCTGAGGAGCCACCAGGCATCGTCCCCAACTCGTGCCATCATACAGCAGCAAATCCATGCAGCTGGCCTTGCACACCCAAGTGTGACAATCAGCGCCATGGATGGCTTGGTGAGGCAAAGCTCACACAAGGAGCTGTTCCTCACTGTGGCCATTCCCACAAGGACAAGCAGGAATCCCTGCTTCACAGCTCCAGGCATCCTCTGTCTCCACACACTTCTCCTGGTATAAAATTGCCAAAGGTATAGAAAATCCAGGCCTTCCCAGCAGTCTGCTGATGGTTTGGTCTCACACCAAAGTTGTACTGGCCCAGCTATGAGACAGGAATGTTTTCAGGAAAATTTCACAGAGCCCTATTTTCATGCCTTGAAATGATTTATTTTTCCTAGGAAATGTGATTTTCCATTCAGGAGACCTGGGGGTATCAACCCTGGGAATTCCACCTTCCCCCCACAGCCATGCTCAAAAACATTTCATGGAATGCCATCAGCAAGAAGAGCATCAAACCCCTGCAGAGCCCTCCCCAATTCCTGTGCCTCCCAGGCATGCCCAGGCAGGCTGGCTTGCCAATTTTCTGACGTGCCCACAAATTCCTGCACCGCTACACCTTTGAAGAGGCAAGAGGAGGAAGGGCTCAGGAAATACCAGCTGCACACAGGGGTGTGTGGGCACAGGTGTGCTCAGTGTGCACACCTGTGTGCAGGTGTGTATTCCACAGGGACTGGCAGTGCTTGTGCATTGCCAGCAGTCAGGTGAGACACAGGGGGTGCAAAAAGAGGGGGAGATGTTGGAGTTCTGGAGGTTGAGAGTTCTAAACTTTCTGTGCTGACAGACTCTGACCCCCAGGGGAACACGGTGTTTGACCTGGGGCCATAGAGAGGGCTTCCAAAATTGATTGATAGCACTGGGATTATGAGTGTGTAGTTTAGTTAGAAGTGTGTAATATCACTGAGTAAAAAACTTAAGTTTAGACTTTTAGAATACAATAATATATATAGAACTAAAATAGAAATTTTAAAGCAGCTACTAGTCCTTCTTCTTCACCTTCTTCTTCATAAGTTTTAGTAGTGTTTTGTAATTAGACAAAAAAGCCCGCATTGCAGACTTTGAGTAATTATTAGAGTTATCGAATTAAAAGTGAAAATAATTTAGGTGTCATTTCTTAATTAAATCGTTGAACCTTAAAAGACCTTGTGAAGAAAAGCCCAGCATCCCCAGGTGCCCCAGGTCCTGGGGCAGAGTAGGGACAGTGCCAGTGTCACCTGATGTGCAGCTGCCAGACTGCTCAGGAAGACCCAGCCCCTCTGCTGCCCGTGGCCCAGCTGCCCCTGGAGCTCCCCGCAGCTCTGGGCACAGCGTTCCTGTCTCAAAGGAGCACCCTCCGTGCTGGCTGCTGCCGTGCACCTGAGCCACAAGCACCATCAGAACAGAAACGCTCCTGACTGCCTCCAGCTCCACCTCCCAGGGGTTTGTCTGTCACCCCAGACAGCATTTTTGGTGGGCTGCTTTTCCAATCCTGCTTTCCCTCGCTGCCAGGCACTCACAGCACCCACAGCCTGGGCAGCCCCAAGGGCAGGGTGCTGCAGTGGGATCACTCACTCAGCAGGAAGCCTGCCAGGCAAAGCTGGCACCCGGCTCACACGGGATCCCGTTCTGGCAGAGAACACAGCCTGGAAGGGTTTGCACAGGGATGGAATCAAAACCAAGTCGTCTAAGTAACACCCTAGGGTCTGAGGATTTCTCAGTTTCTGGAACGGAGCCCCACCACGAGCCAAAAATAAACCACACCCCGTCTTCATAGCTCCCTTCCTGGGAAACTGCAGCAAGCTCCCTGAGCAGAGAGGAAATGCCAGGCTGTGTGAGGTTTGAGGATCTCTGAGCTGCCACAACCTGCTGGCACAGCTTGCCTCCCATGGCTTTGCCAGACAATGGGCCAGTGTGTGAGGAGGAGATGGAGAAGCCACTGCAAGGGAGCCTTTTGGGGTGCTCAGTGTGCCCAGGAGCCGAGAGCAGCTCCCTTGTGAGACTCTCCCACCACGGGAACAGCGAATCTGCCCTGTGCAGGTGGAGCCACATCTCTCCAGCTCCACCAGGAGTGGCAAGCTAAGTCTGCTGCCCCAGGGCAGCCACAGGAGAGCAGGTGAGGGTGCCCCAGCATGTGTGACCCAGTGTGGCACCTGCAGCCCGATGCCCTGTGAGCCCTGGGCTGCAGGCCCCAGGAGGACACTCACTGTGATGTAGTTGGCATTTATGTAGCTGTCTTCCTCCTGGCTTCCAGCCCTCCTGAGGCAGACCCGGCTCTCAGGATCTGAAAGATGTCACAGGTCTCACCCAAGGCACTGATCCTGCCCATCCTCCCTGCCTCGACCTCAGGGGCTGGAGGCTGAGTCCTGCTGCTCCGTGCCATGCCCAGAGCTGTCTGCACCCTCCCTCAGGCCTGTTCTTGTCCCATTTCAGCCTCACTCCCCTGGCAGGGCACAGCCCAAAGCTGCAGGTGCCATAGTGAGCAGGTGGGCAACTCGCCTGCAGTCATCCCCCAGGACGTCCCACAGACCCTGACTGGAGCCCAGCTGAGTCCCTCCAGAACACCCTCAGCCTTTACACCCTTAGGACCATGCCAGGCCCCACGAGTGCTGCACACGTGGGTAGGACAGCCCTGGAGCAGCTCCCCATGTACCCCCCAGCGCTGTGTACCCCTGGAACACGGCACCCAGCTCCACACAAGGAGAAGCAACAGCACCCAGGGGTGCCCACCCCAGTGCCAGGGCTGCTCTGAGACATCCCTCACCCACAGGCAAACACAGGCAAAGGGACACAGTGGCACGTACTGGGGAGAATGGTTTTGTATCTGTCCTTGAAAGCACGTCCAGGGATTTCCAGCTCCTCCGGACTCACGAAGTTGGGTGGGATTTTCTGCAGGGGGAGAAAACAGCCATGAGGAAAAGCCCATTGCTGCCACTCGTGTCCCCTGGTGGTGGCAGACCTGGCTGCCCAGCAGGGCAGAGCTGACCCAGGGGCATCACCAGGGCTGCCAGCTCCTGGGATGAGTCCTGTCTTCACTCCAGCTGTGGTGGGACTCCTTCCAGAGAGGCAGTGCTGGGAGAAGAGCATGGCATGGAAGGGTAGGACAGGGTTTTCCAGGGACCCCAACAGGACACCAAGGAGCAGGTGGGACGTGGGCACCCCTCCCCTCTGTTTGCCCACACCGCCTGCCCTCCCCCTGGGGCTGTGGGCACAGCTGGGCTCAGAGCCCCATGTTCACCCCTGTCAGTCCCACCACTGCCAGCCCCTGCCACCCCTCCTGTGAGGAGGGAGAAGGAAAACCATGATCATCGCACCGAAAACTCCTCCTGGAGCTGTGCCAGGCTCTGGGCGTGCTGCTGCAGCTCCTGTTTCCTCAGCACGTGGCTGGACGTCCTCAGAAACTGCAGCGTGATGTCCCGTGGCGTGCAGACAGGCTGGATGGGCTCCACGTTCCCTAGAGAGCTCATATCCAGCACCAGTGACACGTTGGAGCCCCTCCTGCAAGGCACAGGGGTCCCTGGCTGACCTACTGCCACCCTGGCACACAAGGACAGCCCACCCCACAGCAGCCCCAGGTAAGACCACCCCACACTGAGCAAAGGCCAGAGGGAGACCCCAGCAGATGGGGAGGAACAAGGAATTAGCTGAACACTTTGCCTTTCTGCTGGGAAGCCCCTGAAGGACTGAAGGTGTAGGATCTGTCCTGGGCTGGGTGGGGGCCAGGGCTGCCTCCACACTCAGAGCTGGCACCTGCAGGTGCTGGCAGGCAGAGGGCTGGCAGGAAGGAGTGTTAGGGGAGCCCTGGGGATGAGCAGTGCCACGGGCACCCCGAGGCACACTCACCTCTCCTGGAGTCGCACGTGCTTCTTGGCAGAGGGACTGGGCTTGTCCTGCTTGTCCATGTCCGCTGCAGCTGCCCGGGCTGCCAGGCTGCCCCTATCGACTCTGGAGCACACCAAGCAGGCTTGGACCATGCTGCAGCCACCACAGAGCCCTCGAACTGAAGCACAGCAGGGCCACACGGGGGGCTCTCAGCTCCTGGGAGATCATGGAGCCATCAGAGGAGAAGCAGCTGGAAAAGAAAATCAGATCTGAGAGATTCCACAAGGCTGGATGGAACCCCCACAGACGGTCTGCAAGCAAGGGATGGATTTTAAGTGCTCAGGACCCCCAGCCCTTGTATCCAGGCAGATTCCTGCAGAGCTCCCAGCAGAGTCACCCTCGGGGCTGCCTGCAGCACTGCAGCCCACACTGGTGACCCTGGGCATGGCACAAGGGCCACCTGCTTCCCTGAGGTGAGGACAGCCACCCTGTGGTGGCAGGGCAGGTCTGGTTTGGGGGAGCCCCAGGTTCTCTCCACCTCCATGGAAGCACAGGGCCTGTGTTCCCAGCCCTTCCCCAGCACATGGTGGGGAACAGTGAGAGCTGGAATGCCTGAGCACAGCGGTGCTCAGCAGGTGACACGAGGTGGCTGTAGCCACTGCAGGGAGTCTGGCCATCTCCTGCTGCAGGGACACACAGACCAGGCAGCCTCAACAGCCTCAACAGCTTCTTCCATCCTGCAGGTCACAGCAAGTGTCAAGAGGAAACTGCTTTATCTGGGTGCTTGAGCAAAAGGCCATGGGGCAGCCAGCTGGGGAAGGTGCCAGACATCCTCCATCACCAGCCACAGGCCAGCCCCTGGCAGGGCTGGGGAGATGCAGGTGATGCTGACTCACCTCTGGGCACAGCTCCTCACAGTGCAGCAGCACCCTGGGATCCTGAGCCTCCTTCGCATCCCCTGCTTCCTCCCTGAGGAAGGCAGGGAATGATGCAGAGTCAGAGCTCTGGGTGGGCAAAGAGTGGGATCCCAGGCAGCCCAGCTGCTCAGGGAGGTCTTGTGGGGAGCTGGTGTCCACATGGTGGTTGGGAACACAGCGAGGGCAGGAGCTGCTCCCCAGGATTCCCTGCTGCCTTCCCAGTGGCATTTCTGGGAGTGACAATGCCACCACTGCCACTCACACCATCCCCGTGCCCCACGCAGGGTGTTCTCAGTCCAGGCAGGACAAGAGCAGCTGCTGAGCAGAGCCTGCCCAGGCTCCCATCCCAGCGTGGCCAGGAAACACCTGGGAGATGCCCAGGGAAGCCTGGCACTGCCAGCACCTGCAGGGAGAGCTCTTGCATGGCCTGCCCAGCATCCCAGCCTGCCTGGCACTGCCATCCACACGCACGTGCCCACTGCCCCTGCACGGGCGCTGCCCGGGGCTCCCCTGCCCAACCTGGCACTGCCCGGGGCTCTCCTGCCCAGCCTGGCACTGCCCGGGGCTCTCCTGTCCAGCTTGGCTGGCCTGGCACTGCCTGAGGCTCTCCTGTCCAGCCTGTCCAGCCTGGCACTGCCCGGGGCTCTCCTGTCCAGCCTGGCGCTGCCCAGGGCTCTTCTGTCCAGCCTGGCACTGCCCAGGGCTCTCCTGTCCAGCCTGTCCAGCCTGGCGCTGCCCAGGGCTCTCCTGTCCAGCCTGGCACTGCCCAGGGCTCTCCTGTCCAGCCTGGCAGTGCCCAGGGCTCTCCTGTCCAGCCTGTCCAGCCTGGCACTGCCCGGGGCTCTCCTGTCCAGCCTGGCAGTGCCCAGGGCTCTCCTGTCCAGCCTGTCTAGCCTGGCAGTGCCCAGGGCTCTCCTGTCCAGCCTGGTGCTGCCCAGGGCTCTCCTGTCCATCCTGTCCAGCCTGGTGCTGCCTACCTGCTGCCCTTGGCGAGGGCTCCTGGGTCCTGGCACGGGCCCGCGGGCACTGCGCGCTGTCGGCCTGACACCACGGTTTGAAAGTGTTCAGGAAGCTGCTTATCAAAGGAGCTGCTGCCTCTGCCTCTGCTGCTTCCTCTCCCTCCTTCTCCCCCACCCCGGCTGCCGCCCACACACATACCGGCCACATCTCTGCAGCTCGGCTCTGCCCGCACGCCCAGCCCGCCCGCGGGCACGGCCTGGCCTCCCCAGGACCCCGGCCTGGCTCCACAGGCAGCTCTGACAGGGCTGGACTGTGCTCGGTGCCCGCTGTGACACAGCGCTGGTGCCCCGTGGGGCACGGAGGGGTGGGCATGGGAGAGCAGCCATGGGGCCGCTGCAGGAGGCGTGAGGCAGGGTGCTCGGCATGGCGCTGTGGGGCTGCTCGGGGGGCACCACACCCCACTGGCACCACAGCAAGCCAGGATGAATCCTCCCGTGCCTGCTGTCCTCTTGCCCAGGCCTTGGCCCGGCTGTTCCCCATCTCCCTGGAATGTTCCAGAGCTCACTCGGTGCCTCTCACCCTCAGTGCCTCTCACCCTCAGTGCCTCTCACCCTCAGTGCCTCTCCCCTCAGTGCCTCTCCCCTCAGTGCCTCTCCCCTCAGTGCCTCTCCCCTCAGTGCCTCTCCCCTCAGTGCCTCTCCCCTCAGTGCCTCTCACCCTCAGTGCCTCTCACCCTCTCCCCTCAGTGCCTCTCACCCTCAGTGCCTCTCCCCTCAGTGCCTCTCACCTTCTCCCCTCAGTGTCTCTCCCCTCAGTGTCTCTCCCCTCAGTGCCTCTCGCCCTCAGTGCCTCTCCCCTCAGTGCCTCTCCCCTCAGTGCCTCTCACCCTCATGCCTGCCTGTGTGCCCCTTGTGCCGCCCCACTGTCCCAACCCTGCCCACGTGGGGACACCCCTCTGCACCCACGAGCACCCCTGGGTACCTCAGGGTAGGACAAGTGGGCTCCCCCTCCCCAGCAGGGAAGGGCAGGGCTGTATTTGGGGTCGCAGGTCCCTGGGGCCTGGCTCAGGTAGGTCAGGTCTGCCCCTGGGGCTCTGCACATCCTCGCTGACACATCCCCACTGCTCTTCCTGTTTGCTCTGCCGGGCTCTGCACACTTCCTTCCTCCTCAGCCCCCACCCCACTGCGCTGCAGCAGCTCCCGCTGCACCCCAACAGCCCCACAGACCCCAAACACCTTTCCCGTGTCTGCTCCGAGGGCTGCTCTGGCCAGAGCCACCCCAGCCAGCTCCCGGAGGTGACTGTGCTGTCACCTCTACGGAGAGCTGTGTGTCTGTGCACACCTGTGTGCTTGCAGGTGTGCCAGAACAGCAGCTTCCCTGGGCAGCCCTGCCAGTGCCCAAGCTCCAGAGCAAAGTGCTGGGCTTGGCCAGCAGCAGAACAGCCTTATCCTGGAGAAAGGGCCACCAGCACCTGTGTCTTACCTGCAGATCCTACAGTGGTCAGAGGATAGGCTGAGGAATTGTTCTGTGCCCTGTGTGGGATGAAAGAACACATCTGTAAGGCCTGGAGGCAGCCCCACCACACACTGCCCTTCCTTCCCCCTGTCCCTGCCAGAGCTCAGCAATTCCTGGCATGAACAGCACTGGGAGACTTAGCAAGGTGTCTGCAGAAACTTCCAGAAGGATCCAGGGTAAACAAACCAGGTTCTTGCTGGAGTAACAGGCTGTCAGACATGCAGAGACTTCCTGAGGCTGGGGCTGTGTCTGTGCTCTCAGTGTGGAGGGCACCTGTCCCATCTGGGTGTCTTGGAGCTTAAGGAGTTCCTGAGGAGAGTGTCTCAGGTGGGAAATGGGGGTGTGCATTCTGTCACCATCTGCCACAGGTGGGGCAGTTCTCTGCTGTTCATTGGGCACTTTTCCTTATCTCCCCCACAGCCAATCCTCCTTCCAAGAGATCTCTTCAATTATTAATTATCTTCTGTTCGTGGCCAGTGAGTGACCCTGCATGGCTGAGAAAATTCCATCATCCCATGGGGAGATGCTCTGCCCAGGGGAGGAGCCCAGAATTCCTACCTGGATCCAATCTGAACCTGGGAACAGCACAGCAGCCTTTGCCCCCTGCATTCCCAGAGGAGCAGCTTTGTTCCCACTGCATTCCCAGAGGAGCAGCTTTGTTCCCACTGCATTCCCAGAGGAGCCCAGGCCCATCTCCCCCAGCCCTGGAGCTCCAGAGGAAAACTCCCCCCTTGTGCAGGATCCTGCTCCAGCAGAAGCACAGCTGGCACTGCAGGAGGGCTGAGCCACCCTGGGATGGGACTGCTGCCACCACCCTGACACACAGGGGCTCAGGGCATGTTCTGACTCTGGCAGTGTTTGTTTTATTTTTTGTACTATTGCATTTGTATATTTAGTCTTTCTAGTAAAGAACTGTTATTCCTACTCCCATCTCTTTGCCTGAGAGCCCCTTAATTTTAAAATTATAATAACTTGTAGGGAGGGACATTTTCCATTTCAAGGGAGGCTCCTGCCTTCCTCAGCAGACACCTGGCTTTTCAAACCAAGACATTCCTCCTGCCAGGTTCTGCCTTGGTCATGAAATGCCCCTGGATGCTGCAGAGAAGATGCTGATGCACTTCCTTTGCAAAATTACTTATTTGGTAATTTGGTCATGACAAAGGACCCCACTCAGGGTAGAAAGAGGAAGATGAGATGCTGGGATGCAGTGCATCCTCTGCCTCCGAAGCATCACAACACCAAGGTCCTCATGCTCAGGGATGTCCTCAGGAAAGCCTTGCAGCACCTTCCCTTGGCTGCTGACAGAGCTCCCCGTGCTGCTGCCTTGGCTCTGCCAGTCACACACCTGCCTGTGCTGGCTGCAGCAAAGCAGGACACCCAGGATGTCACCTCTGGAACTGCACCTGGCCCCCTGGGCTGCTCCTTCTGCAGAAAACTTCGATGGAGACTGAAGGGACTGGGTGAAGGGCCATGGCCACTCAGCCAGGATAGGAGGAACGCAGTAGGGATGTTGTGTGGGGATGTGCCATGGCCCAGGCTCCTAGGAGCTGGAAAGTTTGCACTGCTGAGATGTCCTGACCCTTACACACCTCTGATGGTGCACAGCTGGAGCCCAGTGTGCTCCCACCTGCCAGCATGGCTGCTCCTCCTCCCCTCTGCCAAAGCTCCAGCGTCTGAGGAGGTGCATTTGAAGGGAGAGCATGAAGGGGACACGGATCTGTGGAGACCCACAGCACGAAAATGAAGGTGCTGGTGGAAAATGAGGCATGAGCTGGTAGAGAGAGACTGGATGTGAGACCAAGAGCGGAGGGAGTCAGAACACACTGCTTGCCCCAGGGCATTTTTCAGTTCTCAGTGCCACCTGGGCAGCAAGCTGTCCCCTGTACCTTGTTGCACCCACCTACGCCTGCTGCCCTCCCAGGACTGAGCCCTGCCCCTCCTCCTGCCCGCTGGGCACAGGGCGGGTGCACACCCACACCTGCAGATGTCCCTGGTCACCCATCGGTGCCCATCCGTGCTGGTGGGCAGAGACCTCGAGCAGGGAAATGCAGCCATGCCCTCCCTCCCCACAAATGCACCTTTGAGCACATCACTTCTGGTCACCTCTGAGCCCGTTTGGAAGATGATGCTGCCAGCTGGCTCCTCCTGAGGGAGCCTGGCTGGGCTCACAGAGGGGTGCAGGGGGAGAAGGGAGCTGGGAGATGCTCTGGCCAGGGCTCACAGAGGGGTGCAGGGGGAGCAGAGGGCTGGGAGGTGCTCTGGCCAGGGCTCCCAGAGGGGTGCAGGGGGAGCAGAGGGCTGGGAGATGCTCTGGCCAGGGCTCACAGAGGGGTGCAGGGGGAGCAGAGGGCTGGAAAATGCTCTGGCCAGGATGGTGCCTTTTGTCTGCAGCCCTGCTTGTCTCATGTCACATCCCCTCTGCAGCAGCGGCACCAGCCTGGCCTGGGGAGCAGAGCTGCTGGATCCAGGGACTGCTGGGGCCAGAGAGGACCTGGCTTTAAGGGGAGATGGTGTCCAGGCTGGGGCAGATCCCAACTCAGGGTCAGTTTGCTGTAAGGACAGGACCAGGACACCAGGACAGCCATTGCAATCTGGTGTGAGTGAAGAGGAACTTGACAGTCTCCAGGGACAAAGCCAGGAGGGGATGGGAGGAAGGAAATGGCTCCAGGCAGGTCACTGCTGTGCCCCTTACCTTCCTGCCTCCCTCCCCTGGTGGGGAAGGACTGGTGAGGTCCCAGAACAGGAACATCCCTTGTCCCGCAGCATTCCTTCCTGCTCTGACCTTGGTGGCAGTGGGGTGTCAGGGGTGATGGTGATGCCCAGCGTGGTGCTGGGAGGGTTGGTGATGGAGGGATGCACATGGAGGAAAGAGTGCCAGCTGTTACCACACCAGCCATTCACCCTGGCCCGACCAGGGATGTGCCACACGTGGGATCCCCTGTGTCCTCTGTCCATGAACAGCTGTTCATTAGGAATATCTGTTGGGATGTAAGGACTAGAGAGATCTGTGACACAGTCTCAAGGACCTCGTAGAGTCCTTATAGGGGTGGCTTTACTTTCAGCAAGATATAGGATCCCTACGGAGTTTGTGCTCTGGAAAGGAAGATCTGGATTTATCCCTGACTGGCACTTGCTGTTCGTTCACTTGCGTTTTAAAACTCCAATTCCGTGGGGTCATCTTGCACCTCTGGCCATGATCTCATAGCCAGTTCCCTCTGTGCAAAGAGCACCTTCCAGCTCCAGACTGGGACCTGTTTTCCCACTAATGACCAGCCAATCCTTATGCCCATTTCTGCCCCAAAGCCTGGACAGAGCATGGGACCCTCAGCCAGCCTCCCTGCCCGGATCCACACCCCAGCACCTCTCCTCACCCTCTCCACACAGCACTGCAGCCCCAAAGTCACCTCAGCCTGGGCAGGCACTGAGCTGGCACCCAAAGCACAGTCACTGCCCCCAGCACTTTCATCCCCAGGCTGCCGATCACACCACGGCTTTGTCACCTCTGGGTCCGGCTCTCAGGAAGGGACAGTTCTGCTTCCGTGGCCTTGGCTGGTGGTCAGGATGTCCTGCGGGCTGCCGGCATCAGCTCTCCTCCGCTGCCTGAGCATCGCTCGCAGCCGTGAAGGTGAAGCAGCCGCCTGGGGACTGAGCAGACGCTCTGCGAGCTGCCCGAGGCGCTGCCGGCAGGGAGCGGCAGGACGGTGCAGCCGCGCCGAGCATCCCGCAGAGCCGCGGGCACCGAGCCTCCGGCACCTCACCTTGCCGGGCTGGGCCGGGCAGCCGCGGGGAGCAGCCCGGCCCCGCCGATGGCTTCTCCGAGAGCAGCGGCTCCTGTTCCAGCGTCCTCCACGGGAGCGCGTTCCCAAGGACAGCCCGGCCGGAGCATCCTCCGGGCGGCTGCGGGAGCTCCGCGCTCAGCGCAGCGCTGCCGGCGAGCCCGGAGCATCCCCCGGATGGAGCCCATCCCGGCTGGGTGACCTTCCCCGGCGAGCCCGGAGCCCGGGGCATCCCCGCATGGAGCCGATCCCGCCTGGGTGACCTTCCCCGGCGAGCCCGGAGCCCGGGGCATCCCCGCATGGAGCTGATCCCGGCTGGGTGACCTTCCCCGCAGCGCTGCCGCTCCGTGCACAACCCGCTCCTGCTGCTGCCTGGCTGGAGCTGGGAGCAATTAAGCGATTGCTGGTTCCTTTTGCCAAGGCATTACCGCTGATGCTGCCAGCCCCTGCGGTCCTGCCCTCTCCTCAAGGAGAACCAGAAGCAGAGTTCAGGACCTGGATTTCCTGCTTAACTCTGGGTTGTTTTCTTTGAATCGCTCTGTTTGTTCAGCCTAGAGAAGAGGAGGCTGAGGGGAGACCTTGCTGAGCTCTTCAACATCCTCACGAGGGGCAGCTCCAGGCTCTGCTCTCTGTGACCAGTTACAGGACTAGAGGAAACAGCTGGATCTGTGCCACAGGAGGTTTAAATGATTAAAGGGAAAAGTTTTTCACCCAAAGGGTGGTTGAGCACTGGAGCGGGCTCCCCTGGGAAGTGGCCACAGCTCCGAGCCTGTCTGAGCTCCAGGAGTGTTTGGACAAAGCTCTCAGGCACAGGGTAGGACTGCTGGGGTGTCTGTGCAGGGCCAGGGGTTGGACTTGGTAATCCTGATGGGTTCCTTCCAAATCAGCATATCCTATGGTTCTATGACTGCTGAGTAGAACCATGTTTGGCTTCTGGAATTAGAACTCTCCCGTATCTCCTGCAAACAAACTGGGCTTTCCTCCAAAATTGCCAACAGAAAAGCACAGCTGGGCTGCACCAGCACCACTGGGCTGGGCTAACACTGATGCAGAGCTGGTGCTGCTGTGGACTAAAGAAGGTGCCTTAGCACAGGAACAGTTCCCTTGGGAAAGGTGATCTCCAGAGTGAAAGTGCTTTATATAGCTTGGCCTGTTCCTCTCCTCATGTGAGAAGAAGCTCCCCCTGATCATTTTACAGTGGAGGACTGTTCCTAAGCCAGGTGTATAGAATCAGGAAATGACAGAAACATTAAGGTTGAAAAATCCCCCTAAGATCATTAAGTCCAACCATCAACTGACCAGTGCCATGTTCACCACTAAATCATGTCCCCAGGGAATGAGGATAAAGGGGCTCTAAGCCAACACATGGGACCAGTCCTCCAAGGTGCTGAGACTTTGACACTGTAGCCAACAAATGCCACTGGAGAAGCCACCGAGGGCCAGCAAGAGCCACAGAATGACTTGGTTACCAGGACAGTCTGCTGGGGACACAGCCCCAGCACTTGTGGCAGCACCTGTCTCATCCATGTGACACTTGGGCTTGTGCTGTGCTTTCCTGGATGCCTCCAAGAGAGCTGTGCTTTTAGAAATGCTGTCAGGAAAATGCTGTGTGCTTCAGTTTCCCCTGGGGAGAGAGCCTTGCTTGGACACCTGTGGGCTGGCCAGGAGGCACACACACATCCCCTCGGGGGGCTCCAGGACACAGAACTGCCTCCAAAAAGAAGGCTCTCAGTAACAGGACACCCCCCAGCACCTCTCTGTCCTCACAGCACACAGGGAAAACAGTTCTCAATGAAAAAGTCACCAAAAGGCCTGAAAATCCTCAAGACTCATCATGTTATTGCTATGCTGGGTGCCTTGACACGCTTCAGCAGCGGGACCTGCTGCCCCAGAATTCACAGAATCACAGAATAACGAGGTTGGAAGAGACCTCTAAGATCATCAAGTCCAACCTATGCCCTAACACCTCAACCAGACTATAGCACCAAGTGCCAAGTCCAGTATTTTTTTAAACATATCCAGAGATGGTGATTCCACTACCTCCCTATGAAGACGATTCCAGTATTTTATTATTCTTTCAGTGAAAAATTTTTTCCTAATATCCAACCTAAACCTTCCCTGACGTAGCTGAGACTGTGTCCTCCTGTTCTGTCAGTGCTGCCCATTGGAAGAGACCAACCCCACCTGTCTGCAACCTCCTTTTAGGAGCTGTAGAGAGCAATGAGGTCACCTCTGAGCCTCCTCTTCTCCAGGCTAAACAACCCCAACTCCCTCAAACATTCCTCGTAGGGTTTGTGTTCCAAGCCCCTCACCAGCCTCGTTGCCTCCTCTGGATGCGCTCAAGCATCTCAACGTCCTTCCTGAACTGGGTGTTGGAATTTGTGGTATTGATGATTTAGAGATTGTAAAAAGTTTTTGTCTTTTTGCTTTGTTGCTAAAGAAGAAGTTATAATTTGTTTGTGCTGGTTTTTAAGGTTGATTATTTTTGCTTATTTATAACATGTTCTGCTGCCCTGCCGCAGCTCTGTCCTGCAGGGCAGCGTGTGGGGCTCTGCCCTCAGTAGGATGTTACAAACATTAAATACCAGAAACTACCTGTGCTGGATTTACAATAATGTGCCAATATCTGTCACCTACGTTGAACAGTGTGTCCCCAGCCTGAACCAACAGAAAAATGCCAACACTACAGTGAAACATGGAGGGCATGAAGAAGGAGAAAAAGGACAAGACAAACCAAATTTCCTCTATCTTGTGCCCTTTGGACCCCTAATCTAGAATCCTAAAATTTTACTTTTGCACCCGTGCCACACTTAATTATTACTTATATCAAACACTCAGAGCTGGTAATTCATCCTGTAAGATTGAAAACTCTTTTCCATGGCCAGAGATCACAGCCAGTGTCTCTGGGGGCTCTGTCCAGGGGGGTTCCTGATCCCTGCCAGGGTCCCAGGGCAGCCAGGGCAGCCAGAGGGAAGCTCTGGATTCCCACAACTGGACACAGCACTCAAGTGTGGTCTCACCAGCACCGAGACTAGGGGAAGAATAACCTCCCTACTCCTGCTGGTCACACAATTGCTAATGCAGGCCAGGATGCCACTGGCCTTCCTGGCCACCGAGGCACATTGCTGGCCCATATCCACCCGGCTGTCACCAGCACCCCCAGGTCCCTTTCTGCATGAAAGGCAGATCCCCAGCCCCTGGGCTGCTCCCTCGGGGGGACACCGAGCCCGGGGACCTCTCTGCAGTGCCGTTATCAGTACCAGGAAACGAGCTGGGCAGGAGGGGCAGGAGCCAGAGCCCCAGAGAGAAAGGAAGCGGTTAGAGAGCCGTCAGTGCCGTGTCTGCCGCGCGACGCTGCGCCCACGCACCGCGGGCACGGGCACAGCGCTGCCCTCCCGCAGCCCGGGCTGCTCCCCCATCACCAGGGAGAGGTTGTGATGCAGGCACATGTTGGAACCTGCCTGGGAGAATTTCAGACTTTCTGTGCTGGCAGGCACTGACCCCCAAGAGAACTCTGCACTGACCTGAGGCCGGGGAGAAGCTTCCAAAATGGAATGGTAGAACTGGGATTGTGGGTGTGGAGTTTGGATAGAAGTGTGTAACATCACAGGGTGGAAAACTCAGAGTTTAAAGCTTTAGAATCCATAATTTAGCAATAAATATAAAGCAAGATGGAAGTTTTAAGGCAGAGGCTGGTCCTTCTTCTTCACAAGTTTAAGTAGTGTTGTGTAATTAGATTAAAAAGTCCACATTGCAGGCCACAGGTACTTAGTTATTAGTAAATTAGTTATTAGTAATTAATTCTTAATCAATTATAAATTACTATTAATTAATTACTAGTTAGTTATTATTAAAATAAAAATAATTTGGTGTAATCTCTTAATTAGATAGCTTATCCTTAAAAGGCCTTGTAGAGAGAGACAGGGCTCCATTTTTAGTCTGTTAGAGTGAAGTGTTGTAGGACTCTGGGTTTGTGAGACTGTGACATAGATAAGAACTAATACACATCTGAATCCCAATGAGAAACACCATCTCACAGATTTAATCCTGACCCTAGCAAAAAGAATTTAAGACTTGACAGGCACAGATCCTCTTCTAGCATTTGATAACATCTAGAAAGGTGGTTAAAACAGCCCATACTCAGCCAATGTCTGCTGCAGAAATAGCTGTGGAGAGTCCAGCCTGTGGCAAGTTGTGAGAGTTGGAAAAACAGAAACTTCTACAGATACTGAAGGATTTGATTTGTTATAAAAAGTTACTAAATTTAAAAGTTAATAAACTTTTAAAACTTTATTAAAAGTTATAATAAAGCATATGTGTATATGTGAGTTAGAAGCCTATTAAATAAAAATATCCACACTACAGTAAAAGTGGTAAGTTAAAAAAACCAAAATAAACCCTGTAGCAACTATCTATTAGTTTAAAAAGTTATTATTACCTTATAAGAAAGAAACTTGTGACTACTTTAATCTATAACCAAATACTTACTCCTTTAAAATCTCACAGCCTCTGAGACTAATATTTATCGAAACAAAAAATCATTCTTAAACCAAAAAGAATCCCATCCCTTCATTACTAACAACAGCAATGACAACAAGTGAGCCACTGCTCGGGGGTTAAGACTCTTAACAGAGTCTCTAGCAGAGACAGACTGCACATGATGCTGCCTGTGTCCTGCCCAGCACAGGATGGGTCTGGGGATGCAGCTGCCTGGGCCAAATGGCCACGGAGGATGTGCTTATATTTTAGGGAAAATATCTTCACTGAAAGGGTGATCAGCCACTGGCACAGGGTGCCCAGGGTGGAGACAAAGGCAGGTAAATGTGGCTGTTAGGGATGAGCAATGAGGTGGTCGCTCTCACAGTGAGGGGTGAACATTATGTGTGTGTTAAGGAAGTTTTGTAGATGCAGAGCTGTGTTACTGTAATGTATCCTCCCCTCATTGTTATCATGGGGTGGCCTCGGTACTCGGGAATTTGGGAGGGTTGGCTCCTTACTGTGGCAACACCTGAGCTCCAGCCGAGGTGTGCGAAAGTGATCTGCACCCTGGGCAGCAAGGAAGGAGTCACGGACAGGACTCCAGGAGGGGCTGGAGATATAAAAGGGAGCATCCATCTTGAAGATGAGCACATGGCTGGTAGTCACAGGGGCTCCCAGTGCTGTAATTTTTCCTTATTCAGTCCTTTTGTTCTATTTTTGTTAAGGTTTAAT